GGTGGACTCATCTATCGCCCCCCACGGGATGCAGCTCGGCAGCGACGGGTCTGTGCTGGCACATTGAGAGGATTGATTGGTGCAAGAGTCGTGTTTGGATTCAGCCTTGTCGAGGTTGATAACACGATAATGCCTGGAAGACGGTGCTCCTATCAATAGAATAAGCGAAGTGTTTAATGAAGATCAATATGAGGGTTGGTCTGCTGATGTTTGAGCGAGAGTGCAGAGTGTGTTTCAAAGAGTCAACAAAATTAGACATTACAGGAGACGTGCATTTAAAGATCAGCGAATGTTGACAGCTATGGACCCCGAAAAACAAGGAGCCACACAGTCAAGGTCCCCTGTTCAACATCAACCGTCAATGGCAAGTCATCTCTTGCAGGCAACAACAGCCAATTGAAGCCTTTTTCTTCAGCTTTATCATCCAATGTGTTATTGTCTCGTGGCAGTGCATGAGGCAGCCGCCGTCTTACAGGGGCGTAGGCGGGAGACATGGGGATATCTGGAGCTCTGTTGAATCGCCCAGGGAGCCTAGCCTAGGTAGCTCCAGTTTGACTGCCCGGGTGACTCTTTTTCTTGATGCGTTAAGCTCTGGTTGAAAGTAACACAGGATTACAGAGTTCCATTGTCTTTCAAGATGTATACAAAGTGTGTGATTCAGTTTGAGATTAATATAGTATTGTGTATTTCTGAAACAGTACAGGTTCATAGAGTCTTTCACGTGCTCGCCATACAAATATCAAGCAACTTTTCATCATCGTACCATCAAATGTTATGCCTTCTTTACGTGCCGCCAAGGTTAGTACTGTTGGTACCTCAATGGCACTCAAAGTCAGCCCCCGTCTTACTGTCGTACTCACCTCACCTTGCACCTCGATTCCATTGGTTGCCTGCAGTCTACATCAAACAACTAAGCAGGCAGCTACCGCCTCAGCCTTAATTTTGAACTTCTCTTCTTCCATTCTCAAACATTCCAGATTTCTCCTCTTCTTCTTATCTTTACAGCATCTCCTCGATAGCTGCTTGCTCGGCTCCCAACTTCAGCGAATATTCTCTAGACGGCTTCTCTCTCCCGTGCCTTTCGTAGGTATTTATCAATATCATCTCCTCGCACGCGATCTCCCTCTCTCCCCACCCCCGCTCCGGCTGTCCCATCCGCGCATCCGCAGAGCTATCGCCCGGACCCTGCGTGTTCACCACTTATCTTTGCTTGCTTGCTAGCTTGCTAGCTATTGAAAAGCCCAGATTTGGGAGTTGTAGCTTTATCTTAGAGCAAACAAATCAGCTCCAGTGCAATCCAGTTCACTTCATTCCAGTGCAATGCAATGATGGAGCTTGAATCTACTGATATCAACTTTTCCGTCACATGGCTACTTGGTCTCAAGCCAAAATCCACGTATCCCTCATGGGCAAGAGACTTTCTGACCGATGAACCACATTTCCTTGTGAGCCGTCTTCTCGGCCTTCTTCCCACTCGCAAACCCCGCCGACGCTTGAGAAGGCGGCGCAATCGTTCCAAGACTGTAATTGTACCTGAGGAGCCTCCCAAGGAGGATGATCAAGACGCAGACGACCAAACTATGGATGTCTTTGGTCTTGGGAAATTATACGGTGATATTCCATACGAAACTGATGATGATTCCGAGTCTGAAGCTGAGGACGCGCCTGTGGTGGAAGAGGAGCCACCTGTCTTGGCAGAGCCAGCGTTCCTGGAACTGTGCAAGAAAATGGAAGAGCTTCTGGATGAAATTGAGTAAGTTGCACCTTGGGTGCTTGGAAACGTCCACTAATTTGCCCTAGGAAATCACAGCAAGATGACACCGACGACTCGGACAACGAATCGATTGACGGCCTAGAACCCGAAGCTTGCCAAGATGAATCTCCATCAAGAATCGAATGGTTGCGACAAAAGAAGGTGGAAAAGGCAGAGAACAAATACCTCGACCGAGTCATGTCTTTGGCTGGCCTCGAAGAAGTCAAGGCTTTCTTCCTACAAGCAAAAGCCAAAGTCAAAGCCGCTCAGAGGCGTGAGACCGATCTGAAGAAAGAGAACTTTGATGCCGTCTTCATGGGAGGTGAGGGAACAGGCAAGACAATGCTGGCCCGCCTCTATGCCAAATACCTGATATCTCTTGGCGTGGTGAAGAAGTCTGGTGTTTTCACTGGAATCAACAGATTCTCGGCATACAACATGTCTAAAACATCGACTTTGGGCACCATACATAACACAAGCAATGCCTGCGGTGGCTGCGTAAGTGGATATCTTATTACCAAGGCTATGGATCGCTAATTTGCTTAGATTGCCATCATTGACCACGCTCACCTGATGAACAGCGACGATTGTAATCTCTGGAGCCTCTACGTTCGCTCACAAGACCTGCCCGGAAAAGTTGTCCTCATTATAGCCGGCAATGGCGAATGGGGTTTGTCAGACTTGATGGGTTATAGTGCCGAGGTTTCGAATCACTTTCCTGTCCTCAAGTTGCCAAATTACACAGCAGAAGAACTCCAGATGGTATTCCATGGCATGATGCGAAAGTGGTTCAAGGGCAGAATGGAGGTTGAAGGTGGCTACGATGGCCTGTATGTCAAGATTCTGATACGCAGAATCGTTTCAGGGGCCAGCGAAAAGACATTTGGGAATATCTGGCCGGTCAGAAAGGCATTTCTCGAAGCTTGTAGACGTCAAGTCGAACGCTTTATCCAAGCTCGTAAGACGGGGAACTACCTGGAAGACTTCAGAATGACCAAAGAAGATCTACTGGGTAATAAACCCTCTCTTGGTCCGGAGAAGAGCCCTGCCTGGAAAGAGCTTCAACAACTTGTCGGATTGGACGACGTTAAGGAGGCGATACTCGCTGTGGTCAACCAAGTCAACCAGAACTTTATCCGAGAAATGCGTGGTGACGATCCTTTGCACGTCTCACCAAACCGAGTCTTCTTGGGACCTCCAGGTACCGGCAAAACCACAGTTGCAAAGCTCTATGGTAGAATTCTCGCAGATTTCGGCCTTTTGTCCAAGGGCGATATCGTTACCAAGACTCCGGCTGATCTTCTCGATCGCTATATCGGAGGATCTGAGAACAATACGCAAGAAGCCCTCCGGGAAGCAAAGGGCAATGTTCTGATCATAGATGATGCCCACATGCTTGACCCGGGCACCAATGGAAGTGCTGGTAGTTCTAAGAATGGCGATTTCAGAGGCGGGATCATCGACACGATTGTCGCAGAGGTAACTGGAGCTGCTGGAGAGGATCGATGTGTTATCCTCTGTGGTTACCCCGATCAGATGAAAGATTTGTATGCAAATGCCAACCCCGGTTTGGCCCGGAGATTCCCCCTGGATACTGCGTTTGTGTTCGACAATTTTAGCGAGGATACCTTGGGTAAGGTGCTGGACCTCAAGTTGACGAAGGAGAAGCTGGTCGCCACCGAAAAAGCCCGTGAGGTCGCGATGGAGGTGCTGAAGCGAGCTTCTGTTCGGCCAAATTTTGGCAATGGTGGCGAGGTGGACAATATTTTATCCAAGGCTATCTCAGCACGTTTCCGTCGCATCGCCAAAGAGCAGAAACCACAGGATGAGGATCTTGATCAAGTTCTTCTAGAGCCTCAGGACTTTGATGCCAACTACGATCGGTTGTCACAAGCTGTGACAAACACGCGGGCCCTGTTCGACGAGTTTGTCGGCTTCGAGGAAATCATCTCCAAGTTCGAATCGTACCAGTACATGGTACAAGGTATGCGGTTGCGTGATGTCGACCCTCGGCCTTATGTGCCGTTCACCTATGTCTTCAAGGGTCCTCCCGGAACTGGAAAGACATCAACTGCGAGAAAACTTGGCCAGATCTTTTATGACATGGGCTTGCTGGCCGCACCTGATGTTGTTGATGTCTCGGCATCTCAGCTGGTCGGCGAATATTGTGGCCAGACTGGACCTAAGACACGCCGACTACTCGAATCGGCACTCGGCAAGGTCCTCTTCATAGATGAGGCATACAGACTCAATGGTACCCGTGGATCATTTGCTGAGGAGGCAGTCAGCGAGCTTGTGGATGCTGTGACCAAGCCCCAGTTTGCGCGCAAGCTTATTATTGTGTTGGCAGGCTACGAGGAGGACATGGACCGTCTTCTTCGTAGTAACCAGGGTATCAAGAGTCGATTCGCAACCGAGTTCACTTTCCGTCCCCTTCGAACGGAGCAGTGTATCGAGCAATTACGACAGGTTGTTGGAAAGGTGGGCATCACTATTCAACCTACACCAGAGATGGATACTACTACCCGCACATCTTTGTTCTCACTCATCCAGCGTTTGAGCAACGACAAAGGCTGGGCCAGCGGCCGCAGCATCGAGACCCTTGGTGAGCGACTAATCGGACATATCTTCAAAGAATGCGCTATCAAGGGGTACACCGGCAAGGACCTTAATGTTTCAGGTCGTGAGCTGGTGACAATCTTGGGACAGGCATCTGGTGTTCCTTATGCCAGCATCAAGATGCGAGGTGGTCAGATCCCTATGGGTGCCAAGGTGATGACCCTTAAGGATCTGGAGACATCGGAGTAGGGGGTAGACGGACGGAACGCGATACTGGAAGAGGTTTTGAAACAGCGATATGTTTTCTTCAGCGTTTTACATCGAATCTGGATATTTCTGGTACGAGAGGGGTGCATCCAAGAGCAAGAAGGCGATATCAGCATCAGGTTGAATCGGAGTTTTGGAGTAGCATGTTTTCTCTCAACAGTTTAGCAAACGTTAGCAACTAACGAGCTACCGTAACGACAGTAATGACTTTTGAATCACTCGAAATTGGGTTCGAATTCCTTGTGCATTGTCGGTTATTGACTCTCCTGCTTCTGGGTAGTTGTCATTCATTATCCAGCACAGAAGATATAGTGGAGAGCTACCTACTCCCTAATGTTGTCATCAGGTGTTTGTGCATTTCAAGTTCACGATAGGCAAGAATACAGTGGCTGATGAATTACTTCAAGTAAACTTGGTCATTACGTCATTGTCAATTCTATTCATCTCATCGTCTTATTAACGCCCAGAAAGCTGTGATAGGTATCTGGTCTATGTGAAAGACTACCCATTTTGTGATGCCCACAAGTCACAAAATTCGAAATTTAACAGGTTCGCATGTCAAGATATCCTTCTATTGTAGTCTCCTGAACTCCAATATTCATTTGTACAAAATTATTCACCCGTGGTGCTATGCCGTAACCTACTTGATCTGGAACGACTGGATGCTATAGACATGGCCCTACTAGGGCTGTTGTATTCGTCTGTCCTAAGAGACTTCGATCCACGAATCTCAACAGCGATATGGCTACGCTTAGTGGACGTTTGGCGAGGAGGGGTCGAGCTCGGCGTAGACGAAATTTGACTGACTCGAGATTCACTTCTGGACTTCCGAGACCGCGGAGTGTTGTTCACAGAAGCTGACTCTGACTCAAGTTTCCTAATATTGGTCAAAGGGGAAACCTCGACACCCATACGAACTGGCGCCACAGAAGTAAGTGTAGCAGTGGAGGCATGATCGCCGCCCTGTGCGTGGTGCTCGTCTGCGAGGCTCTGGACCCATGCCTCGCAAAATACAGCACCCAAACTGACCGCGACTTCACGAGCAACACTGTTGCCGACAATCTTGTACTGTTCGCTTGGGATACCCAGCAGTACTTCGTCGTCTCTGAACCCCTGGGCTCGTCGTGCTTCCATGATGGTCAAGACGCGAGGCTCGCGCCAGTGTAATGTCCGACCGTTCTTCGCATCGTCCGGACTTTGGGTCTTGACGATTGTCACAAAGAGATGGTCGGGTCGTTGACGGCCATAGGCGTTCGAGCTTGGATTCGCTCGTCCTAAACCCTTATCGGTGCGCTCAGGGAATGCTAGGCGCTCACTTGGCGTCATGACGCCTGAACCAGCCTTTTTCAAGTCACGACCGTACCAAGCTTGTGCGTAGTTCATACCCCAGGGCTGAGTTGGGATGAGGTGAATCCTACTTCGCATCAGAGGCGTGATACCTATAGATACCCGATGATCGGGGTATGGCACGCATATATCCGGCTTTGAATCATAGACAGGGGGTAGGTTGGCAGTGGAAGCCCTCGCAGATACAAAGTCGAATGGTGTGGCAGCCGGCATGGCACGCTCAGCCATAGGTTCCCCCGTGGGAAGAACACCGAGAGTAAGTCTGGAGGTACCTTGTGGATGACCATGGGTCTGATATGGTCGGTGAGGTAAGCGGTGGCCTGGTGCAGCAAAAGCCAGAAATACGCGAGAACGACGCTGGGGTGCACCGCAGGCAGAAGCATCGAGAAAGAAAAAGTGTGCTTGATAACCTAGGCCTACAATGGCACAAATGAGTTGACTGAACACGTCTTGGTCTCGATTAGCAGTTTTCTGCACGATGCCCGGCACGTTCTCAAGGAGGCCGTACCGCGGACGATACAGGTCAACGCATGACGCAAAGGCTGCTACCAGGGACTGGTTCTTCCGTTGAGCGGCAGTTGTTTTATCGTTGGTCAACCGAGAGAAGCCTGGACAAGGGCTACCGCCTGAGATGAAATCCACATCTCCAATCGGCGGGACACTGTCTGAAAACTCGCCTTTGATAGCAAGACGCTGGAGATCGTCTATGGACCCAAGGAATGGAGATACTTCAGAAGGACCAGCAGTATTTGCCATGTAAGTGTGAATAGCCTTTGCGTCAAAGTCGTTCGCCCATCGCATCTCAATGGCACCTCCATCTTCTAACCCACGACCGAAGTTACCACCACCGCAAAAGAGGTCCAGACCTCGCAGTCGTGGAATAGACTGCGATGGGTCGTAACCCTGCTGTATGGATAAGGGAGGTCCGGATAGCGGAACATATGACTTGATTGCAGTCTCATTGTCCAACACTTGTTCGTGGGTGAAATAGAAAAACCCTCCCACTCCGTCGCGATCATATGGCGTTGGTATTGTTTCTCCGTCTTTGAAACAACGAACGAAACAAGGCTCAAGAATACGCGAACTTTTTACCTCGACAAGCGGCTCGATATAGCTGTACACCAACTCATTGGGTCGAGCGTTTGATGCCGGATCAACCTGCTGTCTTCTCAGCAATTTCCGAAACCTATATATACCGCTCCCTTCCTCCTCATAAAAGGTTAGAAACTCGCAAGGCTCGGATCGACCGCTCGTCTTGTTGATCATGACGAGCCGCGTTTCGCCAGTTGTTAATTCCAGCGCCTGATGAGAACCGTTGCGCAGATGAAGGCAACGAAAATGGTCTTTGTCGAGGGTCACCCAATTTCGTTGTATACATATGTATGTCTGGCGACAAAAGAACTCGGCTTTGGTCGCCGAAGTCCCCCCAAACTCGACTTGGTGAACCCCTGACACTTCGTCCTCGGAGATTTTCGCTCTTGTATCACAGGAGCAATGATCCGACAAAAACAACTCGTTGTTCCAAGGGTACTTCATCAGACCACATAGGGTGTCCACGGGTCGATAGTACCAGATCACGTCAAACGTTTTCTGGCCACGCTTATTGACATGTACGCGTTGTACCAGCGCGAACCATCGGTCGACGTCGTCAAACCCATGCGAAATGTCACGTCGCCACTGCGTACCAGACTCTTGGGCATCTCTCTGGATCGAGATCGTATCGCCTGGCCGAATCGTTCGAATTTGCTTCATACCAGCCATTGTCATGGTCTTAGCACTATGATGAACCGGGGACGGCAGTTCGAGATGACGCTGTTTGATCAGCGCATTTTGCAAAGATCGAGTCTTTTCGCTTAGAGGGATGGCCTTGAGGCGGTGACCGAAGGGCTGATGGCTGAAGCAGTCATAGATGTACTGGGTGACGACAGTATCTGCGTCTTCGTTGGGCGCAATCTTTGTACACAGTTTGTATTGCGTGAATTCCCATACCTCAGCCCAGATAATATGCTTGTATGTTTTTCTGTGCCCAAGTACACCGATTGCTTCCTTATGTAGAAATGCAAGATTTGCCACAATTGACGTCCTGAAGTCATCGCTTGGGTGCTCTGCTTTCCAAGAGATAAAATCAGGTGCATTGCGGTGCATTTTCGCTAGCCAAACGCTGAAATTCGATCGAAAATGGAAGATCGTAACATGGTCTTCTTTCTCCCCCCTGAACTTGAGATAATCTACGAAGTGCTTCGTGAGATCTGCAACCCATAGGAACGGGCCAAAGAAACGACGATATTCCTTGGCAGGGCTGTTCAACCGGTAGTATACCTCACGTTCTGAGTTTAAAACTGACCGTATCCAAATTTTGTCTCTGACAGTGTGCTTTGACAATGTACCGTAGTTCTCGATCGGTAATGCGCTGATTTCCACGCGGTGAACGTAGAAAACAGTATTACCAGCACTCAACTTGCCGTCGAAGAATACAGTGCTGAAGCCGTGTTTTGCGTGAAGGTGGTGGAGAGAGCACATCTCCTGCCCGTATCTGTCACGGTCCGAGTAGACTGCAAAATCATCAAGTTGGAACTCAACAAAGTCGTCAAATTCAATACCCGTACCAGCCTCCTCGGCCACCTCAAGCAGTCGAGCGACAGCCTCACGTTCCCTAAGGATTGGGACACTCGGTTCGAATGGTTCGTAGTACGACCTCGGTACCAATAGGAGACTTTCGGGGAACTCGACGCTCATATTCTCGCTGAGAGGGACATCCGGTGTCTCTTCCATTGTAACATCTTCTTGCTCCACTACCTCAGCTGAAGCGCCTGCATCTGCATCACCAAGTTCGAGATCAGGATCTGCAGCCTCCATGACGCACGACTCAGGAAACTCAGGCATTTCAGGGTAGCTGTCTTCGAAAAGGCTTTCGGGACTTGAGCCGTAGTTAGGAGGACTCTGGGCGGGAGAGCTAGGTGACAGGTCAACCTGTTCCATGACACTCAGGCGCTCCTCTTCTTCCTCTTCCTCTTCCTCCATCTCACCAAACTTGGTCCACATTTTAGGTGCAGCATGAGTGGCGGTGGTTGCATGAGGCTCTCTCGGGGCAAAGGCGTCTTCAAACACACCGTCAAAGTCGTCATTGTGATTCGAGAGCCAGTCTATGTTGGGGTCCTGGAATTCGTCCAGCGTCAAGTCGATAACATTATTCTCGTCCTTGAACTCATCCGACGTCAGGTCGACGACATCATCTTCGTCAAGATCGATATGCTAGTCACCGTCAGCAGCCGATCCATTTTGTCTCTGAGATGCAACCTTACGGGCATATTGAAGGATAAGGCCCCTGCTCTTGCATGCTCAAAAGCAATGAAAAGAAAGGATCTTTGTATGCGAAAAACTCAATTGAAAGGCAACACCCAACAGTCTACACCTCCAGTATCATCTTTTGATGAGAACAACGGGTCTGACAATTCCAAGAGAATCTCATATAGAAAGGCCGAGATTTGTGTGTAGGAACATTGAGAAAGCAAAATAAAGAAAGTCGAGACGCGAATAGCAATTTGAAAGCTTCGACTTCAACGCGGCCAAATGAGTGAGTGAGATGAGAAAGACGCGAAGGGCTCGAGCCGTTGTAAGCAAACGCAGGTTCAATTTAGGTGAAAAGGGGCATGTACTTGAGCTTTTGATGAAGGAAGAGGGTAAAACAAAGTGGAAGTGAGAAGACTTTGTGTTTATTGTTGCGTTCGAGTTTCTTTGTTTGAACTTCAAGGCCACTGAGTGAATCACTGTCAATTTGAAGACGGGCTCGGCAGCTGCCAGTGAGAATGCGCTAAACCTGAAAGGTCCGCAGCATGCCCCACGCCCGGAGCTTATGGCAAGAACTCCATCTACACTCGAGGCATGTATGAAGAGGAAATAAGTAGATATAGATAAGGTACTTTTCGTATAGGATATAATTTTTCAATCATTGTTAATGCAGAGCGGTTCTCAAAGCTTCTTATTTATATTCCAGCTTGAACGCTTATCTACGCTGAACTGGATAATGCAACAAATAACCTCTCCTTGTCTGTTGGTATCTATGCCTCGAATCAGAACGCCATGCAGTGCATCTCGTAATAACCCTCTTGCCCATGATCAAAATGGTTCATCATCTTCGTCGTCGGAATCTACTGTTAAAACCAGGACCACCCTTTGCTCCGTGATTCCTAAGCTTCAACCGTTGGAAGTTTGCATGAGCCAGCTCATTGACCTTTCGTGCTGCCTTCCTAACGGTGCCCTCCTTCTTCTGTATGGGCTTCTTCTCCTTTGTTTCCTCAAAATCGGATCCAGCATCTTCACCACCAGCTTGCGTTTCATCGTTTTCAATATCGCTCTGAGGGTTCTCTCCCATGTTTTCGGGTCGCTTGGTCCGAGTTGGACGCATCTTGACCATTCTTGTCGTTCGCTTCTGACCCTTCTTCTTATACACTCTTGTCGGGTTGCCATTTTCCTCCACTGGGCTGTCGTACAAGGCCTCATCATCGAAACCGCCAAGTGGTAATTGCCGTGTCTGGGTGTCCTCAACCAGAATATCATCCTTTGGTTTGGACGGGAACAAAGTCTTGGGCTTAGGTTCATCCATTCCTTCTTCTTCAGCATCGCGCAACGCGTCCAAATCATCGTCCAAGTTTTCCTCCTCCACCTTTCGAAGACTTGCCACAATTTCACTCAGACCTCGTGTAAAAGGCTTGCGCGGAAGCCGCAGGGGTGCTGGGGCATCAAAATCCCCATTCTCGTCAAGAACTGGTAGAGTATTGCGCTTCAAGAACGCGGGTGTATCGAATTGGAGTTTCGAGACCGAAGAGGGCGTAACGGCATCCTTGTTTCCATCCTTGTTCTTCAACGGAGTCATGAAGTGGTTTAGTCTTTGTCGCTTACTAGATGACATAGGCGTTCGGCCAAGCCTTTCGTTCTCCTCGTCATCCATGGTAGCTGATCGTTTGCTCGGAGTTGCATTAACCTTTCGTGCGGAATCTGATTTGGTCGTAGAGTCCCTTTTAGATGGTGTTCCTAGTTCTTTCTCTACCAACAAGTCAAAGAGTCCAAGCACGCGACCATCTCTTTGTGGTGTCGGACCAACCGAGGTTACCGACGCGGGACTGAACAGCTTTCGCGATATAGCTGGTGTATTCATGAGTTCCTCATCATGGTCTTGTGTGCGGTTCTTGGAGGGAGTCTGGGTGTGTTTGGTACGTTTGGTGGGTGTTTGTGCTGGTAGAGTGTCGGGTTTTCGTTTCCTGGGTTCTTTCGAGGGGGGTGGGATTTTGCCCGAGAGTATATCTCGAACCTTGTTATATTGTTTATATTTCGACGCTGTTTAACGGTTAGCATGTCGGTTGTTTTGTTTCTCAAAAGACTTACCAATATCTTCATTAGCTTTGATATCCCCTCTTCCTGGCTTCTTGCCCTCGTGTGTCTTTGCCCATTCTGTCTCCCAAGTCTTCAAGTCGATGCGCAGTTGCTGTGATTGACTTTCATATTCTGCTCTCAAATTTTCGTCCATTGCTATAGCCATGAAGTCGTTTATTTGTATGGGAGTCTGTGAGAAAATCGGGATTTAGATGAAAATGGGTAAGAAATAATGGTCATGAAGGGAAAGTGGAATTGAGTGTCGCGATTGCAGATAAAACGCGTTTAGATGGATCCCTTTGCAACTGCCAATGCGGGACGCGAACCACTCAACGCGAAAATGGGTCTCACGTCATGACAGTTGCAGGGAAGGTACGGAACTAACGGGCCCACCCGCTCCGAACTTTGGTACGTAATTCCGGACCCCCACCTCAACTCCATTTCTTGTTCATCATTCATCCATCTTTTTTTCATACTACCCCAAACGATAACATCTTATCTTCGCTTTCTTGCCTGGGTGTTTTGGATACACTACTACTTGCGCCAGGCGGCCCAGCCCTACACCTTATCCAATCCGCAAGTCCGCTATGGACATAGACCAACCTACAGATGATCTCCAACGTCGAGTCCTCCAAAGCACCCTCGACGAAATAGCGACCAGGCAAGAAGACGCCACCAACTGCTGCGTTATCTGCCTCGAAAGCATCTCCGAAGTCTGCGAGGCTGTTCCTTGTCAACACCGAAACTTTGATTATCTCTGTCTTCTCAGCTGGCTTGAGCAATCGCCAAAATGTCCGCTCTGCAAAGCTGTCATCTCACAAGTTCGCCACGGCCTCGATGAACCTGTCGCAAAGACTTACACCGTACCTAAGCCTGCTCCAGAGCCCCGGGCACAACAATGGGAAATCAGAACATATGCGCCATCGCCTCTTCACCGTCGGCGTCCTCCGCGACGTCGTCCATATCCCCGTCGATCACGCTACGAAACAGCTAGCTTGAGTCCTTCAGATGAGATCGCGAGGCGGAGGGATGTGTATCGCCACAATAGATACTCAAAACATGTTGGGTCGAATCGCTTGTCTCGATACCGCGAACTGACTCCAGCGGCCTTTTGTTCAGATAACGACTTAGTCTCGCGCGCACGAATGTGGATGCGTCGAGAGTTACAGGTGTTTTCCTTCTTAAATCCCGATGCCGACCAGACAGTACCAACACCCGAAGGGAGTGCTCCGAGGAATGCAGTTGAGAGACGGAGAGCCAACAATGCTGAGTTCCTTCTCGAATACATCATTGCCATCTTGAAATCCGTCGACATCATGGGCAGCGCTGGCCAAGCCGAGGAAATGATTTCAGATTTTCTGGGCCGAGACAACACGCGACTCTTCTTGCATGAGCTGAGAGCATGGCTTAGAAGTCCATATGTAAAGCTTGCTGACTGGGATAGGGCTGTTCAATACGACGTATCTACACCGAGCAGCCCTAGAGCTGAGTCTGAAGGGCCTGGCAGCTCAAGACAAGACCAACGCCAGTCAAAGAACGTCGGCGCACGTAATTGGGACTCATCACAAAGACAGGGAGATTTGTATCGTCCTGGGGGGCGATCACAACGACCCCGAGAAGTACTTAGACACGAACCATATAGAACACCGCATAGAGACTAGCCAGGCATGATAAAGAGATGGAGCTTGGATAAGGCAGGATAGAATATGATACCCGGAGAACAATCTCCAGCCGAATGAATAATGAATTGGATTACAAATAGATGTGTTTGGAATAGTCCGAGGTCAACTAAGAGCTTGCGGTGAAAGTAGAGCTTACGAAAGCAGAACTCCTTGGCGGGCGGAATTCCGCCCTCTTGATGAAGCTATGCCCGTTTTCTCCTGAAAGTTCAAAGATGGTGAAGACATCAAGCGCTTATGAATCGGAATTGATTAAAGGTCGTCTCGGGTGTAAAATGAACCCGATCCCTGCTGAACCTGTTTTAATATATTTCCATCACATCTTCCCTATCCAGTCCAATATTTCATCGCAGATTCTCTAAAGACCATCACAAACAAGAGCCACCATAATGCCTACGATCTCTATAACCGCCATATCAGACCCCGTCTGTCCTTGGTGTTTTATCGGCGCCCTCCGTCTATCCCGCGCTATAGCCCTTTATCTCAAAACTGTTTCCTCAACGGACACTATCACCACCAAATGGCACGCTTACCAACTCGATCCCAACACACCCAGCCAGCCTCTCGTGGCCAAGATAGCATCAAAATGGGGAGAAGACCAAGTACCCTCGGTCAAAGCTCGTCTTAACGGTATTGCTAAGCAAGAAGGTCTAGAGTTCAACTTTAACTCTACGATTGGTAATACCAGAAATGCGCATCGGTTGGAGAAGCTGGGGAGGCTGAGGGGTAGGGAGACGAAGGTTGCGATGGAGATTATGAAGATGTATTTTCTGGACGGCGGAAATATTACCAGAAAGGAGGATTTAGAGACTGCAGCGGTTAAGGCGGGCCTTGAAAGGGACGAAGCGAGGGAGTGGTTGGATGGTGATGATGGAGGTGAGGAGGTTGATAATGAGGTTCGCGAGATGCAAGAGAAGGGCGTCAGGGGTGTACCACGGTATATCATCAATGATAAGTACACTGTTGATGGAGCGGAGGATATCAGCGATATTTTGGAAAAGCTCGTTATGGCGAGAGATGAGCTGCTTGCTAAGGATCAGTAGACATTTCTTGCTCATATCACATAGACCGTCGTATATCATGTTAACCATCTCCATATCTCGTAAGGGTATCATCACATTCTCATCAAACCACCAAGATCCTTTTCCATCTGCCTCAACCTAACCTGCAACTCCCTCTTCTTAACCTCCATATCCTTCGCCTCCTCCTCCTCCCTTCTCAAGTCATCCTCTGTCCAAACCTCACCCTCCTCTTCTTCCTCTTCCTCCTCATCATACCAATCCCTATGTTCCAAACTCGCCAGCTGCTCTGCCTGTTCCGCGACGCGCGCTTCATAATACGCCGCTGTGTTCTTCCCATGTGCATGTTTACTCCTCAGCGCAGCAATGCGCTCCCTCGCTCCGGGGAGTTCATATACACCGCAGAGCTTCTCTGCGCCGCGGAGAAGAACATTGACGTCGACGTCGCCTTTGCGATCTGATTCTCCGCGCCGTAGTTCTTCGTGCATTTGACCGCCTAGGACAGCTGCTACGGCTGTTTGTCGACGGGGATGTGTGCCGGTGCGGGGTGGAGGTCCTGTGGTGACTTCGCCCGAGGCTACGTTAAAGACAGTTTGTCGTCGACCCGAGGACTTTTTCTTCTCTGGTTCTGTGGGTTTGAGAGTTGTTGAGGGTGGTGGAGGTGGTGGGACGGAGAAGAGGGCCCGTTCGTGGGGTTCTGTATCGCGGATGAGAGATGTGATGTCGTGGTTTGAGAGGAGGGCGTTGGTGAAGATCTTTGGAGGAGGGAACCTGAAAGAAAGTTAGCGATTGACACAGAAGGAACTGTGTGTTACCTACGGTAGAGAGTCGATTCCCTGGCATGAATAGCCAATTTGTTCAAGATGCGCAGAGATGAGCGACATGATGGCCGTTGTTGTCGCTCAATTTTAGTACCACCGGAAGATTCTATGTCACGGTTATGCAAAGAAAACACAAGACCCAGGGTGTATGTCAACTTGTTATGGCGGAAGAGGATGGCCTCAAAGTTGCGGGTTGATAATGAGAGACGATAGGTAGGTAGCTTGTGTTGACGATGGCGGAGTTTCAAAACAATCAAGGGACGCGGGCAGCTCTTATCGATAAGTACCCCCACATTGCAATCACTTACACGCCAGCTCCTAATGATGATCAACTCAGCAATCAAGCTATGTATGTTACAACCGCCGAAATGTCCAGCCATCAACTGTTCATGTATATAAATATTATATCTCATCTCTTCCATATCGGATGTGGGAATAGTTCTGCCAGCATAGTGCCTATCCTGAGGATGACAGTCATGATTGCTACCAACACTAATATACTTAGGTAGCTTCATGAAACCCCCTCCCCAAAAAAAGGTTGACAATATCCAGCGTGCCTAGTATATTGCAGAAAAGTTATAGTTGAAGTCAATCGGATCTCAGATCTACAAAGGTCTTGATCTTCTACGGTGCTTATTCAAGCTCCCTAACCCCTGTAGATCAACAAAGCCAAGGCCTTTCGCTTATACAGTCGAAGCCAAGAACTGCAAGTACAAGACACATGATCTAATGTTCTGATTCTACGAATGCAAGAATGAGAAACATCCAGCGATGACCTATTGGCAGTTTGAGGTAAAAAGCCGCTGCCCATTACGAAGCTCCAAACTTATGCAGTGATCAATGGTCCATTGCCATGACATAAAACGGGCGAGAAAGAAACTCACAATCTATCCCATTCTATAATTGCTTCAATAATGATGATAAATGCCAAACGCTTTCATGTTGTCTGTCAGAGTTATGTCCATGTCTTCTCCGCATATATATATATATATATATATATATGATGATCTTCTGTGCTCAAATATCATGCCCATCTTATATCTTCAATAAACAATTTCGACATATCGTAACAGTCTAAAGGTATCCCTGTGAAATCCAATGTGACAATTCCGTATTCGGCCTGGATGCAAATTCTATGCAAAACATGCAATATCATTTTCTCTGATCAAATGGTCTCCTCATCCTTCAGTATCCGTACCTGCCCGACGCATAACTGATCATGGGGTTGAGGTAAGGCGAACACAATCAATGGTTCACCGTTGCCCAAACCCCGGTAGACTCAGGGGCTGGTCGGTGTAGGCGGTGTCATGCTCGTGGGATGCGGAAAGGTGAGTCGTTATCGTCGTCAGAGGGACCCCTGGTCGCCTCTCGTCCTCGTAATGTCATTAATGTTCATGCCTATGCGGGCCGGGGTAGCATGATGGTTGTCGCAGCTGATATGGTGCGTGGCTTGCAGGGTCCAGAGCTCTAGCTGGAGATTGAGCCCATCTCCATAATTTCGATGGCCCAATAGGGCAATTCCCTTGCGAGGTGCTGGTGCGCAACAAGTTCATCCTCACTGGAGTCTGGCTCCTCGAGCTCCTCGATCCGCGCAGGGGGCGGGTCATGGAATAATAGACTGGTGCGATGCATCTTTCTCCGCATACGACGTGCGCTGGAGCCGACCTCGTTGGCGTCGAGCCCCTCGCCCTCATCCTCTGAGTCGCTGAGCTCGCTGTGTGTCCGTTTACCAAAGCTGCTACCCATGCTCATTCGTCGGAATTTCTTGATTTGCTCGCGGCGCTTCAAGAACTGTGCTTCTTCGTCGAGTTCGCCCTCGCCCTCACCCTCAGGACTCTGCTCGTTATCTGATGTTTCGTTGCTGCAAGTAAGGTTTCTAAAATCCTTCACCATAGTCTTGTGGGCCTTCCTGCTTCGCGACCTTGAGCGACTGCGATTGGATTCAATCTCGGTAGGTTGTAGGACATCGAGTCCGTCGCAATCGCTATCCATAGGGTCAATATCCTCGACAGTGAAATTGCAAGCAACTGTGGCCGTAGCCGTTGAAGTAACAGTGATATGAGAGGTCTCGGCTTCATCTGTGGCACCGGATCTGTCGGATTCTGAGCCTGAGTCGGATTCTGAAGTGTCTGAATCACTAGAACTGTCAGTGTCATCGTCGCCAAGCTCCATAGCAGAGTCGTCAATTGGTGAGGAGACTGCTGGGCCAGTAGCATTTCCCATGCTTCGTATGCTGGGACTTGCCGAATCTTCCTCATCTTCATCTTCACTACTGCTGTCCTCATCACTGCTGTCGTCGGCCATGCCAGATGAGGAAGACGAGCGAGGGCTTAACTGATGAGGGCCCACTGAAGGCTGATAACTGAATTGGTGTCCATCGCCAGTTGGCTTGATGTTAGGGTCCGAATCCAATGGTTGAAAGTAATCATGAAAGTCGGGTTGACGCCGAGGTTTTAGACTGATCTTGCGTAGGAAAGGCGGCGATGTGGTGGGGGTCTCTGGTGGCGAGTTGGGGTCGGCGGTGAGAGGTTGATTCTGGACTTCTTGTACTTGAGCTTGAAGTTGAGCGACGTTAAGATTTGGTGTCGCGGGCCGCCGCCGAAGGCTCTTTTTTGGCGGCATGGCTGATGTAGTGTATAAGTAGGTAGACCTTAGAGTTGAGGTCTAACAAGAAACGTATATATGGTATGGGATAAAGTGAATACCAATTGTGTCCAGGTATCAAACTTTGATGGACAGACAGAAGAGTCGCCTAATAAGCCTCGAGTCTTTGTCTCGAGTAAGACCGTCAACGACAAGGTAACTCGGGTCGATAAACGTCTTATCGATGAATCAAGTATTGGATGGTGTAGTCAAGTAGTTTGGTTGGTTATGATGTGGGGTAAACAACCGGATGGAGGCGAGCCGATCCGGAAGTAAAACGAGTAAGATATAACAAGTTGAGGTGAGGTGAGGTGAGGTGAGGTGAGATGAAGTGAGTGTGTACTTGAGTGAGGCGGTTTAGTCTGGTTTGAGGTTGAGGTACCAGACAAGAGAACAATGCGCTGTCTTGCCTTGGTACGAAGAGGAAAGAGAACAAGAAAGACGGAAGACAAAAAAAGGGCAGAAGAAAAAAAAATTGCAACCGTTGGCTACTGCAAGGCAAAGCAAATGCAGATGCAGTAGTAGCGGTAGCAATAGCGGTAGCGGTGCTGGACTGGGCTCAGTGCGTGCTGTACGTAGACGTGGGCGTGGGTGTGAGCGTGGGTGTTGACGTGGGTATAGTTATGCAATTGGATACAGAGACTGGGCTGGGTTAGGCCAATACTACGCGGGGCTGCCAGTCAAGTCCCAGTCCAGTCAGTTGCCAGCAGAGCATAGACGATGCAAGGCAATGCACCCAAGTGGCCAAAGGTGGGAGTGAAGAGGGGAACGTAGATGGAGTCGATTGGGTGCCCCAGTCAAATAAGCCCAGTCAAGTCCAGGCTGTTTCTTTAATGATGCGGTGGGTGATTGGCGATAGAATTGGTTGGGCGGTTTATTCTTTCAGGCCCTTGATACCGTAGTGTAGTGTTGTTTGACTTTAGAAAGCCAGCACTGACCTTGTAATTCAGGAGTCGCAAATCGGTAGTAAAAATAGAAGGTTCAAAGAAACAAAATAGAAGAAGCGGAGAAGATGACAAGACGTGGGACAAACGCACAAGCCAAGTCAAGTCAAGGCTGGGTCTTGCTTGTCGCGGGGTCCCGTCAGGTCCTCGCTTGGTTCAACTTTGGGCCTCAAGCCAGTCGATACGATACCGATATTTGAGACGATCAATTGGTAGTGGAGAGACAATGGCAGATATCAATGAATGAATCTGCTGTGAGAAATGAACAGTAGCGATAGTCAGGGAGTCAAGACCCAGAGGAGAAACCTCCAACACGGAGAGGATGATATGCGACTTGTGTTTGGGGTCATGATAAGTCTTTCTCGAAAGGCAGGCGATAGTATCGTCCTAGAAAGGAGACAGGGACCTGGCGAGATATTTCTTCAGGAGATCTCTGTCAGCCCGCTTATCGTATCGTAGTGTCTCGTAGTATATCGTTACTGCTAAGACCCAATTCTGTCTGTACAGTACGGAGAAGGAAGAATCTCGTCGTCGAGATTAATAAGGTTGAAGGTGATTATCAATCCCGTTCGTAGCTCTTTTGTCATTCACTTGAGGAAATCCAAGTGAAGATGACAAAAAAGGAAGAAAAAGAGGGAAAGAGAAGAAGAAAAACAAAAAGTGTGAGAAAGAGGAGGGGAAGTGCCAGATAAAAAAAAAAAAAGTAAAGAGCACCTCAGATGCAATGCAAGTGAGATGCGGATGGCGAACACCGACCGGAGCCTACTAAGGTAGGTATGGACAGAGGGGGTACCTTTACTGTAGAAAAACGACTTTGATAGGCTCCGCAGGCTTTGATGAACAGAGGCAAAGGTGATGAGCAAGTGAAATGCACAACAGATTGAAAGACGATGAGCTTAGTATGTAGGTCACTGTATGTAGCTACCGTAATGGTACCAGTCTGGTACGGGATAGTACAGCGATGATCAAGTCTGCAGCAGCAGTACTGTAAGTCAAAAGTTAGAAGCCGATCAACGATGATGCCATTGATCAAATGACGATGACAGACAGACAGACAGAAGACTATCAGTCAGGCCAGGTCAGTGGATAGATAAGAGAAGCCTAGCAACAAGGAATGCCCTTGCATCTGAGCCTCAGCCGCGCTTCTAGTTCAAGAATCTAGTCTAGCGCAAAGAGTTTCTGTTGCTCGCCTCTGTTTAGACAGCGAAGCGGCCTTTTTCGTCTTCGTGCGGAGGAGGAGAGTGGATGGACGATCAGCTTGGACTGCCGGGGCCGGGGCCGGGTTCGGATCGGGTCTGTAAACCAAAACAAAAAAAAAAGAGGAGGTTGGGCCGTAGATAGGTAGTCAATGTCTCAGTGAATGAGACCAAAGAGGTTCAACTAAGACTCTTTTCTGGTTCCACAGTCTTGGTCTTGGTTCTCAGACTTGGATAAAGAGGCCCCGGGTGAATTGAGGGCTGACAGGTCTAGATCGAGACTGATCGAACGGTTTCGTTATCACCCAGGTCTTGTCTTAATACAGGTTTATGCATTCGCCTTTTTTACACTGAAGCTGACTGAGTATCCAGTTGGGGGTCCAAAGTGGATGTATAAGTAAAAGTAATCAATGTGAAATCAACAAGAAGAGACTCGACACTTCTGTAATAGATACTAGAGGTGGCATAGAGGAGTCTATGCCCATGGTTATCCATAGTTCAAGTCTTGGGCATTGCCTTTATATCAGTGCCAACAACTTTAGCCAGTCTTGGCTCAGTGTAGACTGTGATACAATGCGAATCCTCAGACATGGAACGGCCCGCTCTGCCATTCCACGTCTTCAAAGATTCATGTGAAAGCAGGGAGTCAACTCTCACCGAGCCCATTCTAACCCAGCCCTGCACTAGCGTCGGGTCTCTGCCAACACAGAAAACAAACTTGAAATGGAAGTTGAATGGAAACCCTTGATCAAGTGGAAACATCTAAAAACCCTTGCACAATTGAATGGATCCCACAGATTTTGAGACCTTCAGTGAAAAGCAAAATAATCACTCAATGCCTAAACACAACTTCTTCTAAGCGCCGTCGTGGACCAACCCATTTTATCAGGTCCATACGAGGGGGCATCACCGACATCCATGATTTGGGCATCAATGCTCGAGGTAGGGTCTAGTCTGTTTTTGTTTTTTTTTACTCTTCATCCACGGGGAATCGACAAGGGCATTGTTTGTGTTGGTCGATGGGAACCACTGAGACTTTTGACACGTTGGTATGACTCTTAAATTTGGGGACTGTGTTACATGTTGTGCGCGGTATTTGTCTGTCGATAAAAGATGCAATAATGTTCAGACGGTGAGATTTTGATTGATTGATTCAACCTCGAGGTCTTGTCTGGCCTCGTAATGCAATGCATGAGTTGTCAAACAACAAACGAATAAGACACTCGGTACAATGCAAAGCAACGCACAAAAGAGAGAAAACATATGATACGTTACAGGCTTGAAATCCGAGGTACTTGAAGGATCATGAGGGTACTGATACCCATTGTTCGGTACCGAGACGCAGACGCTGCTCAACGGCCCATCATCGTCATCACGCATTTGCGTATTCCGCTTCTGCGAGGAATCGAATCGTCTGTCCTGCAGAGTCTGACGAAACGGGGTTTTTATCGCGTGTGCCTATCGCGAGGGCACACGTCTGATGGCATCATCATGTAGCATTGGGGGAGCTGCATCGCACAAACGGGCTAAACTTTCGCTTATCGTTTTGGCATTTCTAGCTGAAGTCGATGAGTCTAGTCAAGATGAGCATCGTTTCATTTGTGTAGCTTGTGCTGCGAGTGTTGATCCAAGTGACTGTCTGTCATTCTTGTATAGAGTTGTGAGTAGCGTGAATATTCAAGCAGAAGAAGTATATGAATAAACTACTTAAAATATTATAAAATAAAGACATAAAGGACTGAAACTGTCTAGAGCACACGTTATAGTGCAACTCTAAATTTGGATCATGATTGAGGCGTAGAATGACATCTATCAACCCTTCCCATCCCGGATCTGAGCGGAGACAGACACGGGCTGCCCCGCTTCCCCGTCTCAGCGCCCGGAGCCGCTGAAACTCAAATCAATCCAATCCATTGGCCGGCAGCTAAATCAACAAAACAAACCATTTCCTTACACAACAACCACCATGGTAAGTAAAACAGCACCAGATACTCACTCAAACGATCATTGCGATTAATGTTCACTCTCTTCAATAGGCTTCAGATCCAAAACCGCAAGGGCGCAAGCGCGGTAGACCTGCAAACGCGTCCAAACAAGCTCCCAGCGCGTCGCAAGATCGACCAGACGAATACGAAGCCGATGTTGAAGAAGCTGCGCGTCCGAAACAACGGGGACGACCAAAGAAACAAGCGCAAGAAGATGCGCCCGAGGAAGAAGTAGCGCAGGTGGAGAAATCTAAAAAGAAGCGTGGTCGACCTTCACTAGAGGATAAAAATGCGGAAGAGACGACAGAAAATGCAGCGCAACCGAAACGAAAACGCATTCGCCCGTCGCTGGAGAAGAATCAAGATGAACAAGAAGCTGAGCCAGAAACGGTAGAGGCGCAACCAAAGAAGAAGCGCGGACGACCATCTCTCGAAAAGAATCAGAATGAGGAGCCTGAGCAGGAAACAGAAGATGCTGGAAAACAAAAGCGAAAGAAGAAAGCGAGGGAGAAGCAAGTTGAAGAGCCAGAAGAACAGCCAGAGGAAGAGTCCCGACCACGAAAAAAGGGCCGCAAGGCAGCTCAACAACCTGAACCCGAGCCAGAAGAACCAGAGGCAGAACCGGCACCTCGAAAGAGACGGCGACGTGAAGCAAAAGAGCCAGAGCCTGAACCTGAACAAGAGGAACAACCACGACGCAGTCCACGAAATTCTTTGCGTGATCTCGGCGAAGATGCCAATAACAAGGGCAGCAAGGCCGAAAACTCCAAAAAGAAGAAGGACCGTGTAGCACAGGAAAACGCAGAAGATCAACAACCTGAAGAAGCTACCAAGAAGCGCGGTCGGCCAAAAGGGGGAAGACCGTCAACTGAGAACGCAGATGAACCACAGGAAGAGCGACAAGAGACTAACAAAAAGAAACGTCGCGACAAAGAGAAAGACGATGCACCCTCTGACTCAGACGAATCTCTCGCCTCTCCGCCAAAACCGTACATTCACATCGCCCCCTTTAAACGTACAATTCGCTCGTCCAAGATCGCCGCAGACTGGACTGGTCTAACAGGCGCATCACTCCCCACCACAAAATCCATCCTCAAACTCGCCCAACAGCCCATCCTGCAACGCATGGCCCCAACAAACAACCGACGCACCCACGCCTCTGCAGCATTACATCTCGTCTACCGCCGCATGGAACGCAAACTCGCCCGCGGTCTACCCTTCCCGCCAAGCAATTCATCGAAGACTACCAAACGGCGCGGAGATGCTGATGGGGGTCGTGCTTTGGAGCTTGATTTTGAGGCGGTACTGGATGGGAAGGCGGCGTTGGAGAGACAGCTTGTGCCAGGGCTTCATGCGGTTGAGCTGTTGAAGGCGGAGAAGGATAGGATGGAGAGGGAGCTTGAGAGAGATTATGAGGAGTTGAGGAACTTGGAGGCAAATGCGAGGGCGCAGACGAGGGAGCGCAAGGAGTTGTTTCGAAAGGCCCATGTCCTGGCGCCGACATCAAGGCCAGCCAGTAAGGGTCAGGAAACAACTTTCGTCACTGACACCAAAGACGAGGGAAGTCTCAAGGTAAGTTTGTTCCATTACATTAGCGTACGTCCGAAGAACTCACACAAGCAGGACCTTGTAGATACACCTCTTGAACCTGTAGCACTTCAACTAGCAGGTCACGTCGAAAGCATCCGTGGTAACCTCCAACAAGCTGAGGGAGTCACACCACAATTGAATCGTACGAAGGCTGCATTACAGGATGTGTTGCAGCGGTATCTAGATGAAGGAGCTTATGAGCAGGTTGTCCTTGGATAAATGCTCTTTATAAGATATGAGATGATGAAATAAGCTACTTGAGCTATGCATGAATGGATGAGCAAGGCGTTGGGGATAACGGTTTGGATGAGTTTGCATAGATGGACGCATGGCCTTGGATGAGCGTTAGGGTACAGGTACAGATAATATCTTAAGATGAGATACTTCTATAAAGGCCTTGTTAAGGACATTGCATACATATTTATTGCTTATGTTGTCTCACATCTACACACTACATCTGCAGCGAGAAGAATATGTGCTATAAAAAGCAAGATGTATATGTGTATAAGACTCAATGAGACAGGAAGCGGTCTATGGAACCGACATTCCAGATAAGCATAACCCAAGTCTATCTATCTACAAGCGCTTCCATATACCAACCCCATCCGTGCTACAGTCAAAAGGGAACAAGACCAAGTAACCCGAGAGGGTATTTGTTGAGTGGACCAGATAAGACGAAAGTTCATGATTCTCATTGAATTGATTTTGAAGAAAGAAGCAGCAAAAAAAGTAAATTGTCATACATCCAGGAGAGTAGTTGACCTATACAAAGATATCCCCCCCTCCACTAGATGCCTAACCAAGAAGTGACCAAATGGTGAGCAATGTACAGATGAGACTTCATATACATAGGAGTTGTCTCAAGACATTTATCGGAGACGGCGAGAGAAGCCAGTGGGCTTAGCGTAGCCACCGGTGGCAGTGTTGTTGACAGGGTAAGGGACAACAGTGACGGTAGCCTCGAGGGTGGTGGTGGTGTCACAGAACTCCTCCTCGTCATCGTCGTCCTCAGAGTCATCATCCTCGGAGTCATCACCACCAATAGCCTTGTCGGTGATGGTGGCATCATGAGAGCTGCCGGTCTTGCTGGCCTCAGGGACAACAGTGACATAGACAGTGGAGGCAGGGACAGTGACGGTGACGGTCTCAGGGACACACTCGCCGTTACCGTTACCGTTGCCAGGACCAGAGCCACCGTTGTTGGATCCGTTGCCGGAGCCGTTACCGTTGCCAGTACCCTTGGAGCCTTCCTCCTCACCCTTGCCGGTGCTGTAGCCGTTGTCACCGCCGGAAGCGGGGTTGGTCTCACCGACGCGCTCAATGGTCTTGGTGACGGTGCCAGTCTTGGTCTTGGTGGTGGTGGTGGTGGTGTCATCCTCGGGGGTACCGTTACCCTTGGAGCCGTCGTCAGTGACCTCAGGGCCAGCAGGGACGGTGATAGTGGTCTGGAGAGTCTTGTGGATGGTGGTGGTGATGGTCTCGTCACCCTGGGTAAGAGTGACAACCTGCTCGGTAGTGTAGTCGGAGACGACGGTCTTGTCGCCCTCCTTAGGGGGAGGGTAAGCACCGCCAGTGGTCATAGGGACGGAAGCGGTGTAAGGGGCAGTGAGGGTCTTGCCAGTAACACCACCGGTCTCAGCATCGTGGAGGACGGAGGTGTAGATAGAGCTGGCGTCAGAGACGGGGCAGACAACCTCGGTGAGGATGACAGTGTTGGTCTCAACGTAGGTGACCTTGTCGGACTCGGGGAGCTGAGCAATGGCAGTGTGGTCACGAGCAGGACAGTTGGTGACGGTAGGAGCACAGCTGGTGATGGTCTCGACGACAGTGGTCTTGACGGTCAGAGTGGTCTGGTAGTCGGTACCGTTGTCTCGGCGGTAGTGGGCGTGGTGAGGGAAGTTGTAGGCGTTGGCCACGGCGGCGAGCATGCCGATGGAAGCGACGACGGACTTCATTTTGAAGATTGGGGTGAGTTGGATGTGATTTGGTTAAGTGGTTTGTTTTTGCGGTAGCTTCAGGTTTGTCTATGACAACGGTTTGCAATGCGATTCAAATGGCCGTAGAAGTCAATTCCACAGTTGGGCAGCGAGCAAGACACAGTTTTGCTTCACTAAAAGAAAGGATAGAGTTGGAACGTGAGAAACGCTGGTTGCTGTAATGCTGGAAGGATCGTAATGGCAGAAGCCGGAAATGAATGGAAAGTCACGATAGAGACTGAACGAGTGTGGTGGTTGTGATAGACAAGACTGAGAAGCCGGATCTGAGGTGAGGCAGGAAGCGTTAGATATTAAGAGAATCCAGAGTCGGAGGCGTAGTACCAACTGGGCTGGAACGCCTCTTTTTAGCTCAATGTCTCTTGCAGGGGAGTGGACTGCAACCACAAAACGCCGGACTGCCAAGATGCTTTGAACATGGGTGGTGTTGTGGTCCACCAGGAGGCCCCTTGGATTAAGAGAAGGCCAGGGTCTGCATCTCGAGTTTGGGCCTTGATCAGAATGAGAGGGAGATGTACCCACTCGAGCACGTTCCCTCCAGCGACTGGTGAGCCATCTTCGGGTCTCCGTAGCTGGAGGAGATGTGATTATCGTGAAGGATCATTGAGAGCGAATGCTACGCGTGGGAACAGCTGAACCATAGGAGTAGCGACAGACTAAGCGATGAGCCAGTGTCAGGGCTAGGACCATGCACCTGAGCTAGAGAGGCTTATTCATAGTATCCTTTCGTGATGAGCGTATCCTTCATCTTGCTTGGGCAGGTTGGTCGGTTGCTGCGGCGTTGACGTTGTTGAGATGAACATGGATGTGATTTGATTGGAGATGATGGAAGGCCAACCGCGGGAGAAGGTTGAGGTTCAGATGTCGGTGGGGCGTTCTAGCTCTTGCCTTAAGAGGAATGGTTCAGGGGCACGGTAAGCTTCTCGGGCCAGGGTCCACGGGGTGCCTGACCAGGGGGTTTCGGGCTAAGGAAGCGCTTTTTGGTGAGCGAGCACCCTGCAATTTAGCGATATTATTCCAGTTCACTCAAACCTTGGTTGATTTTGATGATTGTTCATGCTATATCTGAGCATGATCATGGGTATGTTCATGGTGTTGGACGACAATTACTTGATACATATGTTGACTCTCTCTGATACATAACACACAAAGTTATGTTTCACTCTCAGAGTTGTTCATCGTTTATTCTCTCCCTAGCGCCACCACGTCACTTTATGCAGGTACCGTGCAGAACCTGAGACGCCACGCGGGCCAATTAAACCTCCAGACTCTTAATCACCGCCATCCCGAGATTTCGTTGTTCTGGCGCCCGCCACATTTTGGTCTAAGGCGGCGAATGAGAAATGCACACACTCATCGTCAAGTGATGAATGTTTTGAGGAGCGCCAGCTATTCTCTGTTTGTACACATGTTGCACAGCATAGACAAGAGCGCGTAAATCAGGTGAGGCTGCTTATTTACCTGGAGTCTGTAACTCTCTCTTGTGCACATTTACCCCTATGTATGCGGTGAGATTCCTCTTGGTACTGCTAGTCAGGGAGGTAATTTCAGCCTTGTGCGCTGTAAACGCCAGAACCTGCAATATGCCGCCGTGCCTCTCTAGACCACTAGAAATGTCCGACGGGATCGACAAACCTGGCACGCAGGATTAGTGCAACTCTGAGAACTAAACTCGAGCCATAACCGGATACCAGGGATTCCCGAGTCTTTGAAGCAATGTCCATGTCATCCTGGCGCCGCCTTGTTATTCCAAGGAGGTCCATCGTCAAGGAGACGAAGAGCCTAGAACCCAAAAGTCAAACATTTTCTCACATGTCGAGACTGTCCCTGGCAAGCTGAGAAGATGTTGGAAAGAAAAACCAGAAACAAGTCCCTTGCATGCTTGACCGCGATTTGGCAGAGTCAGACAGAGTCCACTCTACTATGCAGGCTCCCACCAAAAAAGATCTCTTCTTCCCTGCCAAGCATTTCCTCGGATCTAGAATGACTCAGATCCCGGGTTCCAACTTCCGACCTTTTCTTTTTCTTTTCTACTTGGAGCCCATGGCTGTGATCTGAGACTGGTAGCTAAGCCTCATCGGCATACGTAGAGAACGGCAGTCAATGAACTCCAGTTCCTACACTAAGCTCTAATGATTATAGACTCACAGAAGATTGGTCAAGTCGTACAGAGATACATGGGTAGATCATAACTGGAAATGACCATCAATTGCCGATCCTCCAGAATAGAATCGACCAGCCAGACTGGTCCCTGGACGGTGTTGATTACCCAACCTGGTAATTAGATTCTTGTTATGCTTTCTAACAGGCTCTGACAGCGTTGATCTAACTTTTGCTCGCTTGGATGAGGCAATTTTGCATCAATATGCAGGTACCGACCCACAGGTTGTCATCTCCTTCTCAGTCTCCATCTTCATCTCCAATATCACTCATCAACTATAGATCAAGATCCTCAAGTTGCGCATATTTTGCGAGCAATATGTCTCATAGAAGACTACAGAAAAGCCACGTCCTTTCGTATATGTTTCACTTCTCAGCCGCCTCCGGCCAACCCGTCCCCCGATGCCATCCCTGTCGTTTCATCAAAACCCCTTGGTCCCTGTCTCGTCTTGTCGCAGAATAACAAGTTACCAACTTTGTTTCCCCACTCGTAAATTACCTCTTCCCTCCTTGTTCTGTCCGTCACGGTTCCAACGGCTTGTTCCATGGCATGGCATGGCACGTTGACGGCTTGTCATCTCGATATTGTCGTTGTCATCTTCATATATCAAAAACACCCCAAGCAAGGGTTTAAAATTCTAGGAACGCTTTTTTACTCCTTTTCTAGATTTTTACGAGAATGTTTGTTATTCGGCTCATTTTAAACATTCAAGCCGCGCGATCGCTCATCTCATCTCGTCTGTCTCGGTAATCACTCAGGCTCATAGGCAGACTTGGCCTTGGCGGGCGGTTCTGTTGTTGACCAAAGTCCCAAGTTATGCTTGATACATGCATGCTAAATAGATTGTCGGGATATGCTGACTGCGAATCTCATCTCATCTTCAAGGCACGGTCACATCAACCATGAGGCTCTTTATGCATCGAGTTACTTTAAACCATGTCAATTCTAGCCCTGTCGTCAGCTGCAGTTGGCTGCATCTCCAAGGAACCTCAAAATCCTACATGGTGTCACTATCCACAACTCAAATGCGCTGCGCCCTGTTGTGATTTCCGATCAGGTAGACACCGAGATTGCCAATCATTTACCATACTCGGGTAGCGTGGGACCTGGGTATCCCCTCGATCTCTTAGACGCACGCATTCATCCCGTCTCTCATTCCACCTCCTCAATTCTTGGCCGAGGCTTCCCAGCTGCGTCTACCAAAGTTCCGCTGGGGTTGACATGGAGGCCCGCCAGCTGCGTCAGTCCTGGACTGCTTGTTGACTCTTGCGGCGGGAGGATACTAGCCATTTGCCAGTTCTCAAGACTTTCAACCACGTCCTTTGCATGCTGTTGCACCAGTCCATCGTTGTCCGTTTGAGCCACATATTGCAGTGTCCTCACAATATCCTCTCGACTCTCGTCTGTCAGACCAAAGCCAAGTTTCCTCCCAGACTCCTTAGCAATGTTGAGAGCCCTCACAAAGCTTAACACGTTCAGGATAGCAGCTCTTCGTAGAATTGCCGTCTCCATCTCTCGTTCCATTGCTAGTATATTGATGCAAAGGTCAACGCTACCAGATACGAGCGTTGGCCCAATCCCTCCAATGTTCGTTTCGAGAGCAGCTCCAAAAATTGACAAGGCAGAAGTTCGTATTCGAACGTCTTCTGTACCTCTCTTACTTTCCCATCCTTGAAGAATTTGAGCCAAAATATCATTCCTAGCCTTCTCTTCTTGAGTCACTTCCTTTTCATCCAAGTCCATATCATCGTCGTCTTCCTCCTTTTTCTTCTTTAGCCCTTTGAGCTTCTCATCACGAGCTTGTTTGGCCATAGTTTTGGGTCGATATCCACGACGTCCAGCAATTGACAGCAAGGTCTCGCTAACTTGTTGTGCAACATCACCAGTAAAGGTTTCCCCTAGTCGCTGGATCACTTGCAGTAAAGCTTCTCCAAACCGTAGCCGAACATCCGTCGTAGACTTTTCCTGTGGGTCTAAGTAGTGGTCTAGAAGCTCTTGAACTGCCGATTTAGGATGTTTGTTCGCCAGCTGAGTATAAACTTTGATGACCCGAAGGTTTATGTAGTCGTCGTTATTCTCGAGCAGGGTCGACAAGAGTACGGCAACTGCAGGGATGTCGAGGATTGGGCTGTCTCTAAGTATCAGACCCGAAAGCAGATTCAATCCTTCAGACACGATGGGAGCTGGGTTATCATCACCCCCTGTGACATATTCCATGGCCAGTTTATATGTCTTTTGATCTTCGATCTGCCGGGTACTGGGGGCCGAGGCAGAGACACCATCCTGCTCCATTTCGTCTCGATATTTGAGAAGCATCGCTAGGTTTCTTGCTGTAGGCGACAACTGTGGCCTATCTTCATTGCTCAATCTTTTCAGGGAGCTCTCTACAATCTTGAGTTCTTCTGGTTTAATGTGAGATTTCTGGAATGTCGGTGCAGTAATGACCAGGTTCAGCAAACTCAGTACCACAGCGAGTAGGTCATCTGCTAGCCTCGACTGAGTATCTGCAGAGAGAACTTCGCAAACCAACTCTAGTAGTTGATCAAACTGGCTCACGAGCTTTTCGGGCGCCTTGTCCATCAGCTTTTGTAGAATGGTGACCTCGAAAAGATTTTGCAGAGGTGAATCTGCCTTCTCATCCTTACGGGGCAGATCAATTTTGATCTCATCATTTGGTTTGTCTGCTGTTTCAATCCAGCGCTTAAGGAGATTCAAGAAGATGGATGACACCTCTGTAACCGAGCATGATGTGGTTATGAACTCAACCAGTTTAGCTGCTTTGTCTTCGAGCTCGTTCCAGTTCAGCTCGACACCTGATGCTGAATCAAGTCCACGATGTTCGGTGATCTCAACATCGCCTTTACCTTTGAGTCGGTACTCCCAAGGCTTTTTACTTCCTTCTGTAGCGCCTCTACAGAGGAGGTTTCGAATGAATGGTCTGACACTTTCAGAATTGCCGAATAATCTCAGATAAGCCTGTAGCAGGGCCCTGGCAGGCTTAACAAAGTTCTCTTCAGTACTAGGCGGTGGGTTTTTCCACGAGGCGAGAACCCATGTCTGTACTAATACAAGCCTAAGGAGACGCCTGCATAGCCCAGGTGAAGAATTAGACATCACCAGAGTCTTGAGACGCTGGAGCGCGGTTTTGAGTGATTGGGAGGTGACGAGAACACGATCACGGCTGAGATCAACAATTTCCTCATCTTCTTGCTTAATGGCAGTTGGATCTGGGTTGGCCACTGATCGCAATGATGGGTTTATATCCTGGACTAGGGGCTGAATAAATGCATTCCACCCAGGAGATCCTATTTCATGAATTTAGTCTTGCTTACAGAGATTGTCTGCTGTTACTCACCTGGTGCGCCATATTGCTTGTTCCCCAAAACACCATAACCTACAATCTGAGAGGCGGTTTTCGCGAGTTCAGGTCCAGCAGTTCCATCGATGAGCTCAAAAAGCTGTCCTGATATGCCCTCAAACCACGCTTCCGCTGTCATACTGGTTGGAACTGACGAGAGAAGTTTCGTTGCAACGGCAACCCCTTCGTGCGTGATGCTAGCTCCTTGCTTTTGTGGCCCAGCTTTTGCATCTGGAGTTCTGCCAACATTACTGGGGTGTACTGAGAAGACAAATTCCATGGTTCCACGGACACCAGTTGGGCGTAGAGGGAGGAGGGTGAGTGTTTGGACCAGAGGATCTCGTAGCCATTGTGGAAGAACTGATGGCTTAATAAGTGTGTTCAGAGCAGGCAAAAGTTTCCAGACTGGTGTTCTTGTGGTCTATTAGTGCCCTGATATTAAAACACATGGTTGCAGTCAGAGTTGCACCTCACCTTTCGATGAGTTTGTTGTATGCGCCAAGGCCCGATGCCCGCGTACTAGCATCATTATTGGGATCAAAGGCTTTTTTACCAGCCTCTACTATCTCCTCAAGTATTTTCGGGTGTGCAGCAGCAGAAGTTGACGAGCTTGCCATGCTGCGTCAGAGGTTAATGATAAGCTTAAAAAGTTGTATAGGTGAGGTGATAAGGTTAGAAATGAGGAAAAGTCAGTTGGTATAGGGTGTTTGTCATCATGATCCAAGAGCTCCAGCCTTCATGTGCACCCCACACTATGTGTACTGTGAAGAAGGTGGAGTCGTCACGTGCAGGCGCGTTTGTAGTGGAGACCCACATATTTCATCGCGTCTATCTCTGTGTTGAACTCGACTCTCTCAGTCAACAACCACCTCGTGATGCTGTTCAGTTTCTAAGATCCTCTACTGGAGATACGACACCCGCCAAAAGGTAAGATTCATATGGATCAGCTTTCTGAGGCCCTCGATGCGGTCAAGATGAGCTCCTTCAACTACATTCAATACGCGCGATGCCTCCCCCACAGTCCTCCGGTCCTCGTTTCTCGCAAGGGATCCTATTGCAGGCGCTCGCATCATTTGGTTACCCTCCCATATGCCGCTCTCGAGCCTGTAACAGGACCTCGTGAATACCGCAGCTGGATTATGGTGGGTAGCGCGTCCTGTATAGGACGTACCAAGCGGGCGGGTGAACGAGGCTCGGAACTTAACCCTAAGAAGATATCTGGTTATCAAGTTTTGCGCTCTTGTCGCCCAAGTCGTCTTTTATGCCGGTAAGGCACCAACAGTCATCACGCCCGCTGAAAAGTTGGATGATTGACTGGTGGCGCTACTGCCGACGGACAGGCGAGGAGGGCAGTCCAGTCACCGTTTGGTGCGTGAGAGGATCGGTGCCATGAGTCGTTTGGTAAGAGCCTCTGGTCTGAGGACGCTCGTCAGCCCTTTCCGCTGGAACCAGCACATTGGTCAAGAGTAGACTGTCTAGTCGTTGCGATTAGCTCTAGGTCTTGGAGATGGAACTAGTCTGACCACTTGGTCATACTGCTAGCTTGCCCATTACGCCTAAGCAGCTGAGAAGTGGAGCTTCGATTTGGCCTTCAAACAGCCAGTCAATGAATTTCATTCATGTCCCGAGTTTTCGCTTGCCGGAACCGCCAGTTCGGGTAATTCCATCTGGTGCAGCAGGCAACTCGCGGAAACACACAGAAATTCGGCGACTGACACATCTTGCCAATCGTATAGCCCCCGGTCCTTCAAAGCTGTTCATGGCATGGCGCGTTGCTGCACTGCTTCACATCCACCTAACCCGTTGGCACACTGGACCATACCACAGCACTTGCTACCGGTGTGTGACGCTCCGCGTCTGGTCTGACCAAGCGCATTAACCTCCAGCCATGGGTCGCAATCCCTTGGTCATGATGGGCGCCAGCAAGCCTGCAAGGATCAAATGGTCTAAACAGGTCCCTCAGATCCGCCGAAAGGTTGAACTGAGACGAAAGGGTGGTTTTTATGGATGTCTTTTGTCCACCCGTCAACGCCCTCCATAACTCTCGCTGGCGAGAACTTTGGAGAGGAATCAAAAACTAGTCCTAGTTGGCAGCGCGAATCATACAGAAGGAGTTCTCTCGTCAGCATCGGTGGGTTTCCGGACTGCGTTCTGCCACGGCAACTTTTGGTGGGGTCGTGTTTGCGAAGGTATTGGATCATTGTAGAATTGTCAGCTCACGAAACAGTCTCCACCTTTGCAATGGCCGTTGTTGCAGGAGGATACTTGCGGTTGGCGTTGGAAGCATAACCGGGACCCATCTCGAGTTGGAGTCAAAGTTTCGTGCTTGTCTGGTGTTGTGAAAGACCCTTCTATTGAGTTGAATCTCACGACTTTGTGCTGCACTGTTGAGGCTGGGTTGCATTCTTGGATCTAGGACAGACCTTGTTGGGTGAGGTAGTCCTGGCTGTCCTCTCGCCTGAAAATGGTGTGGAGGACAGCCCCCCGCGGTGAGGGGATAAGTCTACCCATTCCTTCTGTTGATTGGACAAGTGCTAACATCCGAACAGGACAAGAGAAATCTAGATACGCTAGTTGCCATGTTTGAGAATACCAGTTTTTTTAGGTAAGTTCAAGATCTAAAGTCAATCGTCGTGTGGGGAAGATGGAAGATCCCGTCTGGATCGGCCCTCGGATCCGACGGATCGGATAATTAATGTCGTGATGTCATGAATGCCAAGATTTTCCAACGTCCGCGTTTCTTCGGCAGCAAATCGGAACTAACAAAACACTCGTCGTAAACTTTATGCATCTGTAACAAATGATCTGCGACAGATTTGGAGTGTGGGTTGATCTAAGAAGCTTGCTTGGATCCTGGCCGTGTGACACGAGTGCTGACAATGAAAGAAAAAAGACGCATCTACCGGCGCTTCTCTATACGAATTTGCCACTGTAAATATCGTAAAAACTCTAAAGAACTCCAAGACAATATACCTAACTTGGATCACCTCTGTGAACATGGTTTAAAACTGTAGATAAATTTATCAATATTATAATTAGAAAGACCAAGTTTGTCTAATTCTGTATTTTTCTTAGTCCCCAGCTTGGTTGTTGAACGAGCCAATAGGAAATACCCGATGACTGAGATACCTGGTGTGATGTCACATAATGCAGGAACCTGCTCCCCATGTCTTAGCTGAGATACTAAACAAAAACAAGATTGCTCTTCTACCTTTAGTTTAGTCCGCGTACTCCTCATAAATTATTCCCTCCCTTCGTCTGCTCGCTCCCGTCTTGGCTCTCCATTCTCACGCTACTCTTTCAAAGCCAAGACTTAGAGATATCTATCATGGTGAAAGCAGCATTCTTGGGCTTGTTGCCCGCCGTCATGGCCATCCCGGCAGCCGTTCCCGGTCCCGCACCAACGGTTTATCGTAGAGAGGTAATTCCAGTTCCAGCTGCTCAGCCTACGCAAGTTATGGATCTCGAGCGACGCGACATTATTGGCGATGTGGAGACTTATGTCGGCAGTCTTGTTAGTGGTGTTGAGACAAAGATCAAGGGATGGGTCAATTCAGGCATTCTCGACTTTCCAACAGGTTTCCCTACAGGCGATGCTGTTAAGAAGTCAGCAGGCGTCGACGACGATGATTTGAAAGCGCAGCCGACACAAGTTCTAAATATTCCGTAAGTAGCATCAATCATCTAAGGGATTTACACTAACCACGGGATAGCCCATACGGCAATTGGACCAACAAGGGATGGAACGTTCGAGTACACGGCAATGTTTACAAAATCCCGGATCTGAGCCAGGAGAAAGTCGACGACCTCGCCAATGTCTTCCTTATCGATACGAGTGTTGATAAACTGTCTAAGTCTCAGCAAGCTCAGGCTCGAAACGTGACACAGTCCATCTTCGTGGTGCAACAGGACAATGTGGAGGTCAAGATGAACTTTGTGAACAATGTTGATGTGTCTCCCGACGAGAGCGGCGGTGCAATTGATGCGGTAAGCAAAAAAAAAAAAAAAAAAAAAAAAAAAAAAAGACAGTAGATGGAATCGGTTGCTGACCTTATATCAGAGGGGAGGTTCGCAAAACATTACCATGCCGTACAACACAACTCTCGAGGGCGACTTTGACGCTTTCGTCGTGCTTAAGAACACCACCGGCCCTAACAATGGCTATTTGATCCCCGGCAACGAAACTTCGAAGATCCAGACCCTCAACGTTTATGCTGAAGGCAAGAACAACAGCGGAAACGCAACCGCTTACCTCGTTCCACCCAGGGGCATCACTATTATCTCTGATATCGACGATATTCTGCGAGTGACCAAGATTTACGAGCCAAAGGAGGGTCTTCTCAACACCTTTGCTCGACCTTTTACCCCGTGGTTGAACATGCCTGACATTTACGCCAACTGGTCGTCTTCAGTGAAGGATTTGCACTTTCACTATCTCACAACGACACCTGAGCAGGCCACTCGTAACTACATGAGCTTCATCTACAACACATACCCACTGGGCTCATTCGATACCCGTCCGCTCAACTTCTCAGACGTTTCAGCGACACTATCCATCCGTCGCTTCTTGCTCGACAAGGTCTTCCAGACCTTCCCCGATCGCAAGTTCATCCTCGTCGCCGACACGAGCAACTCAGACGTGATGAAGGACTACCCAGCGATGTACAAGGACTATCCTGGTCAAGTGCAGTGTATCCTCCTGCGCAACACCAGCTCTACCGACAGCGGTGACAAGTTCCCGTACAACACCAAGGGCTTCAAGGACATTCCTCAGAAGAACTACATGTTCTTCCACGTGCCTGACGATATCGCAAAGATTGATATTGCCAATGGTGGATGCTACAACAGCTCTATCAAGCAGAATGTGACATTTGACTACCAGGGTCTTCCTTTTGGTTTGAGTGACGACGATAATGCTGCTGCGGGTGTTACACCTAGGTTAGGAATGGTTGTTGCAGGATTGATTGCTACTGGTTTGGCGATGATGGTGTAATTGGATTAGAGGGCGTTATCTCGAGGTATCATTGAATTTAGACTGTAGCATAGGTAGTTACGAGCGTAATGATCACGTTGAATTACTCACGACAAACCTCAAACCTGTTCCAGACGCTATATTCAAATAAGGCCTCTCTTGTTCCATTGGTGAATGATAATCTCGATCATTGACAAGTGTCATTTGCAGAATACCCTACAATTGATCATCACCGCACTAATACTCTTCCCATGACAGGACATTGCGTTCACTTCACCGTGCGTGTTCTTCCGTAATAACGTATCCAATTACGTCAACCGGAATACATTCCGTTCAACGGCACATGAGAGATTATTCGGAACTTGTCCACCCGAAGGAAGCTATAACATTCAGGGTCCAGCTGAAATATCGTACGACAACGGCACCTCTACCGCATAGATCGTATGAACACCATCCCAGGCTCTTGGATATGAGCATCTCTTGTTGCGGAAAATAACATCCTGTATCTTGAACATTACCCGGTATTCCGTACATCGTATCCTGTCGTATCATGGCGCAATCATCGAATATGCACTCTTGATTCCACTACGGTACTTGGAACTTCCAGGGTTGAAGGATTCCATACAACTGTCAAAGCTTATTGTGAAAAGACACGGAATCTTTTGATATGGATTGACGAGAAAGATGCACTAATACGGCGAGCCCCGACTCTAAAAGAGATGAAATGGCCAGACAGCACATGCTCGAGATCATCAAGACAAGCCACCGAATATTAAACACATTAGTAGATGCACTTGACTGAATCATGAACTGGTTGTTGTCATGTCTGTATGAGTAAGTGAGTTTTCCCCCCCCCCAGTAATTCTCTCAATCGTTCCATTCCGCTTCTGGAACGGGATGTTGTTTGTGCCATGACGCTTCTACCACTGGAACTAAGCTATGGATAATGGGCTGATGCAGGGGTTCTGAAGGTGCTGTATCCATAATCCATAGCGCGTAGAATCCTCGCGAGATCTCGCAGTCATCTTTCGCATACCGAGCGTTGCATTGTAAGAGGATGAGAGGAGACAAGGCTTACGCCAAGACCAGGGATGGTTGTTTTCTTTATTCTCTCTTTCTAAGGTTTCGGCATATCGCGGATCTTTCATGCAAGCCAAGTCAGCAGCTCAATTGGAACACTTCTGCGAGGCTGATAGTGGTCATCAACTTTTTAGAGCTGTGATTCAACTTGAGGAATTGCCCAATAGGATCTCAATCGATACCCGCGCAGCTGAGACATTGAGGCTACCTAGTCGTCAATCTTAGCGAGGTGTGAGGTGTGTGTAAGCTATTTCTAGAAGGGAGTCTACACATGACACAGCGGCATACCTCAAAAGTTGAACTAAAGACTCATGATTGAATGGATGGAAGCTTCTAAAGGCCCTAGACCTTGAAAAACATACTAAAGACTGACCAAGTTTTACAGGCGCTAGTGGAGACTGTTTCCCCCTGATCAGCCAGTTGACAGCGGCTCATATCCTATTTGATAATGGTGTTGTGGATGTCGAAAGCACTAATCCGTAGCTGCCGTGTCTGTCTCTTGCCAATTGAGCATGTTCCTGGACCACAGACTGCTCGTTCAGGCCGGAAAGAACGGAGACCTACAGGTAGGTCTCCGCCTGGGCTCTTTCTCAATTCAAACATTTTCTAGGCTCTGGCTCCATTGGAAAAGGCAAGACTGTTCACTTGTCATTATTCGTATTCCCCACTCGCATCCAAAATCCACCATCTCAATCTCTTCAATCTCACTCAGACTTCTCCACTACTTTACTGCCGCTACTGAAGAGAAAACAATGCTACAAGCAGGTACATTCATCCGCGGTCAATTCGAAACAAGCCACATGCTAGCACTGCATTCTGCATCTTTAACCGCGTCTCTGTGGCTACGCGTTTTGTCTGTCCGTGCAATACGTACCTCCGTCGTTCGGGGATCCTGACGATCCGCAGTCCGCGGGAGTAAGCGAGGTCTAAAACAAACCGTCTTTCGACGGCGTCAAGTTACTTCATCGCCGAAACTTAACCAATCCTCTGCTAATTGCAGGTAAAACTGGTAGCTCAGCCTTGACGGACCCCCAACCGCTTACTGGCACCACCCTCACAACATGCAGGCACGTGGGGACTGGTGGAAACCGTTGCACTTTGGTCCCTTTCGAGAAAAGTTTACCGTTTGAACAGACAAAAACGCCATCCATGGCTTTTCGCGAAGTCAAGTGTTACCACTGGTCTAGCAGAAACGCCTCGTTCAGCTGCGGCTCCAAGCCTCTTTTTCAACAACCAACATGATTCTTGACCCTCTTTGGCCCGCAATCAATTGCGGCTCCCGTGTTGGTCATCGCTATTTGAGTCTGTTTGATATTGGAGCTTAGACTCATGCTCCTTGTTGGACAATCTCTATCGGTGGGGTACCTCATCCCGAAACAAACAACGACTGACTGATAAGTCCTGCAGCCAGACAAGGATCATCAGACGAGCTCTCTTTCCGAGGCACGCCACATCTCACGACCTAGCCCTGGCCTCCGCGCCTTGATGTGATTCCTTGACTTGATCTCGTGTGCCTAGAACTCATTACTGACCCGCCCAGCATCAGGGCCACAACCGATGCTCCCTGAGCCTCACATCACATGTCGTGTGCGTTTTTAGCAGATGATTAATCGAAACGAAATGAGATCAAAAACTGCCTCGTCTTTTCCACAAAGGAAGAGGTCAGAAATCAATTTCCCGGCTCCAGAACGGCCAAAAATATAACAAATGCTGCCACCCAGTGAAACTCATTCGCGCCTGCTACATGATGATATCCGAATAAAAAAAAAAAAGAAGCCCAAAAATAAAGACAATTGCAGATTGGAGTCCCCCGTCTCCAGAAAGATTCAACAGCGCATGGGTATCTCGCGGGGGTTTTGTTTGCTTGCGGTCTTGCTCCAGCCACCAATCTCCCGCTCCATCCAATGTCGAGCGTCGCAGTCAGTCAAAAATCGTACACTGCATACGCCCAATGGCGCGTTGCAAATGGTCGGCGGTCAAGAGAGAGGCATGCCAACCTATCTCCCCGTTACCGTCGGCACTCAATAGTCCAGTCCAGCCTTTTGCCCGTCGATAATTATTTCCAGCTCTGCCGTCCTTATATCGCAATTGAAGAAACCCTCTCAGAGGGTGACGCCCCTGTGCCCCTCAAGGACATTGCTCTTTTTCAAAACCGATGATGTGCCATGATGCTCGGTATACCTGGCATAGCGCTTGTTACGGGAATTGATGGTGGTGGCCGACTGGCCTTATCCCTAAGCGTCCAGTCGTCGCCAGGTTCTGAGGGAGCTACGAGCTCCATTATAGTATATTGAAGGATACCGTCGAGAACTTGTGGGACAACAATATCTCGAGACAGTCCCCATGATGGTAATGACGGTTCTTCGTTATCGCGCCCATCAGCCTAGGGCTATCAGTCAGTACCAGCCGAATGAATTGATATACAAAGCACAATGTCCCAACTTACAAGACATGATGCGCAAGGCGCATTGTTCACCCAAACCCAGTTGGGGCAGTTATGTGTATAGAAGTACTTGCATCTGTACTTATAAAAACCACCAGCTCCACTCATTGTGCTGTTGATGTCCAAGACAGAAGAGAGTTGTATGGCGTAGGTAGGAAGGGATTGGACAAGGTGAGATACGAATCAATGGACAGACGGAGAATGAGATGCGAGGAAGAGGCATAGACTCTTATATGAGCTGCCAGGCAATGAGAGGAAGTGACGTGAATGCGATTATTAGCACGGGGAGTGGACTAGGCTGGGGAAAGGGTCGAACGATTTGTCTGTACTACCGCTGAAGTGCGGATGGCCAACATGTCAAGGATCCCCAGGGCAGAGCGGAGCTCTAAGTGGGAATGAGCTGGCATGATCAAAGGTGCGTACTGTTTGCTCAACGGAGTACGACTTAGAGACTCGGACGCTGACGTCTTAGGGACAACTAAACTCGATGGGAATGGCCGTTGGGGTCGCAATGCCATTTTGCATGGCATTGACTGATGCCCCCCGCCGAACAAAACGATGCGATGTGGTGGGGACCACACCCGTAGTGATGACAGACAGGGAGCCCCTGTGAGTTCTGCAGGACGACTGCAGACGCCTTTTACTCCGTACAAGCAGACAGGACTTGGGTACGGGCAGGCAAAACAACGTAAATTGTTCTAAAACAACGATGGAATACGGGAACCAGCCAGGGACGACCTGTTTTTGATGGTCGGTCTCAAGGAGAAATCGACACTCTCAAGATATTTCGTTACCATGCGCTCATTCAGCCGGGGAGGACACACAAGCGCTTCCAAAGCACGACTAGACAAATGTTAATCAGCATTAGTGGCATTCATGTGCTGCGGTTCCCGCCTCAATCTGCTGCTACAGTACAGTATGCGTCCATACTTAAAGCGAAGTGATAGGATGGGTCGTCGCAGAAGCCATGTCGACAACTTAAACGGTTTGTGGTTCGTCGAAACGTGGGGCCATGGGACGAGAGCTATAAAAGGTGTAGCGTCCGGCGGAATGGCGTGAGGTTAGACCTGACAAGGGCGTGTCTACTCGTCTGGGGAAAGGACGTACCGCCCGCCATGGTCATATCCAATGACACCGAGCTTTTGCGCATCCCTCTCGGAGTTGACCTTACTTGAGACGATGCATGGTGATTGCCCCCGTCTATGGTCCACGCCCAAGCCCCTAGGTCCACGGCAATCACAATTGCTCCAGCGCCACATACAGGACAGTACCAGGCCAGGGCAAGAAACCCTCAACAGGAATAGGAGGGGCGTGCTGTGCGTCTATGAATATGTTGTGGTGTTTTCTTTTCGGGCCAGCCGGCGCCACGACGTGAAGCCAAAGGCCCATAGTCAATGGTAGGCTTGCTGTGGTCGTCCCATGCCACCATGTGTCGTGCCACAAGAAGAGCACGGGCAAAGATCCGATTGTTGGACGTGCAATGGTATGGTTCAACATTAAGAAACCATGTATAAAATTAATCTGACTTCACTCTGACTCTGTGGCTCTTTGAGGCAGGGACTCTGTGGGGAGGAAGATCTTTGAGGCTGAGAAAGAAACGTTCTTAGAATATCTTGGGATCGATGCTCAGCCCAGCATCTGGAATGGAAGGACGGGAAAAAGCAAAAAAACACTTTGCTTGTGAAGGGACGGGATCCACAAGCGCGTGGCGCCGCAGTTTGGCTTGTGGGTATGCGAAGTATATCTCAACGTATACATACTTGCACATGTCGGCAATGCTCCTTTTACTCTGTGAGCTTGTGTTGGGGAAGCTGATAGCCAATCTATCGGAGATGCAAACTATCAAGGTTGCAAGAGCGAGACCAGAACTTATTACGAGGAGGGACTTCAGACATGGTGGGTTACTTGTCCTGATATCATGAGATATTTGAGAAGCATCAGTCTTTACTCAACGAGATTACGACCCTACCCGGAGGTCTCGGGTCGCTCCGTGCTTTCCCAACGTCCAGTTGAGCATCACCGATGACCTCGGGCGTCTCCATTCGCGGATCTCCCATTCTACCTCGGCCACTCCACACTCATTGGACTTTATCAAAACCATCTTCTGATTGAGGCAATTGCAATGCGCGATAAACGACACCTTGGACGGGCGCGCAGAAGAAGCAGGATTCGGGGTTGGTCAGTCTTATCGTTGCGTTGCGACTAGACAGAAACTTAAAAAGTTTCTCTCATTTCCACATATTGGAAAATCATCACAAACCGCGCAATATGCACAGTTGACAACGCGGCCCCCCTGGGCAGTGCACCACCTTTTGATGCTTCTTCACCTGTGCGCCATCTTGCTTCTTCCGCCCCCCCAAGTATGTTCCAGGTTGTGAACAGGGGCGAACGGCAAGGAGCTATGGCCTCCTCGGATAGGTTGCCATGATGCTCAACCACCCAGGAAGTGCCCTGCAGATACATACAGGTAATGCTCTCCATACATTATTCTCCGGTCGGCACTGTCTTCTGTTTGAAGCTCGAGCCCTTCCACTGCATTGCATGCTCGAAAAGGAAAAGAGCTGTTGGAGCTCCCGTCAGACCATGTCATTGATTGGACCACTTCTGAACTTCTGAGCCAGGCATTTCGTTTGATCCATATCATGGAACCATGATATTTCAAACCACCCTGATATACATGTGGTGTTTTGCATCAGCTCTTCTTACTGATCTGATATTGCTGGGTCATCCCTGGTTGGAGCAGTCTCAATCATTATGATAACCCGATTGACTTTACTGGGTGAAATTGAGGGATGCTACAACGGCTCTTACTCACCCCTGTCATCGGATAATGGTATTGAATCGGTCATTAACGGCTTTGGCGACCTACAACATGTATTGATATCGTTGGTAGTCAATAGCCGGGTCTGAAGGGAAGCAAACCCCAAGGTGGAACCAACAGCTCAAACTTTGATGGTTTTTTTTCTTCTCATACGATCTCCCTCACCTCGTATATCTGCCCTCTCATACACCCTCACTCTCATTTGTCGTGGGGCAATCATGGCTGTGAGTAACAAGTATTCCTAAGAAGGGATCCGCACTCTCTGTTAAGACCCGGTCCTATCTATCTATCCTGCCGTATATCTGAAACAAACAGCCATTGACGATTTTACTTAGCCCAGCACAAATGTGCTCGTTCTCTTTTGGCGGCCTTCATTTCACCGTCATTGACGTCAAATTGTTATAAGAGGATAATATTGCGAAGTTTTCGAAGCCAAGGCGCAGCGTCGAAAGCTGTCCACGATATGTGCTCTCAAGTCAGAGACGTTGTTTGTTCACTAACCTCACCCAGGCGTTTCATGGTTGATAATTGTTTGGCACTTACACTTCGTTTCCTTTCTTTTCTCTTGTTTTTGCTTTTTCTATCGATCTCCCGTCTTGCCCGCCTCCAGAAACCGATGTCGATGAGGGGAGCCCTGCTAGCTTGACCACTTTTATCGGCCCGTGGTCGCCCACATCCAGAACGAGCAGGCATTGACACACACATCGTCATCCCAAGAGAGAAGGACGTGAGAGGCGAGGAAACCTTAGAAAAATTGGAGTTGGATGGTCGAACCAACATTCAGATTGCATCGTCAACCGCGGCGAGACTGATATGCAGCCCACCCACCCTCTGCAAGGATGCCTTGTTTGTGTTTGCATCAGAGAAGCTTCATTGATCATTCATCCTGACAGACAGACAGACATACATAAACATACTCATGCTATTCTGAGTCAAGCTTCGCTGACAGCTAAACTGATTGCCTAATCGATTTGAGGCTGGGAGAAGAGGCAACAATGCAGTCAAGACAAAGGCTCAAACAACCAGAAGAGGTGTTGTGCATGATACTAAAGAAGCATGAATGCTGCAGAACTACGCAAGTGCCTGGAATCCGTTGACAATGTTTCATCTAGTTTGAAATACGGCTGGTGTACTAACAATAGTTCTCTCTCTGCCACAACCTTTATTCAGTCCCAAGGTTATCTGTCTCCTCTTTCCTCCTTCTACCTCCACTCAAGATACGCACCAGTAAAACAACCCAAAAACGCCCGCATCCTCCATGGCACTCGCTCACACCCTCTTTTGGCAATCTAACGGTGCTGCAGGACTCTAGGACCGAATAGGAAAAGTGAAAGAGACCTTGAACCAGACAGAGAGGGGCGCGACGAGGGGAAACATTGAAGCATGAAATAAAAAACAATTCAACCGAGCAGCCAACCAGGAAAGAAGTGGCTGATGCACATAGAACGCCGTGGTCGACCAGTCAAGTTGTGAGGATGTGCAACTCCAGGTTGGGATGAATAAGGGAGGAGAAAAGTTTTGTCGAGCTACATAGTAGTCGCATACAACACCTCTTCCCTACTCTTACTTGGTAACAAAAAATGTTTGTGTCCCTCGTCGGCCCCATGCAAGGCCGAGCCGCAATGGAGGGCCGCTTCCCGCACGTACATGGTAGGTCTAAGCATTGGATAAGCAAAGAGGTCGACCGCTCACTTTTCAAATCTCTGCCCATGCCTGTATTGTCGATTTCTAGGGGACGCCTGGAGAGCCTTTCCATCCTTTCTCTCATGGGTTCCTATAGCGAGTACTTCATCGACCAGCTTTCATGGCTTCCTTGCGGCGCTTCTTCTCTGCAGCGCGCGCGAGAGAACGCTTGACGTCGCCTTGCTCAAAGCTGTCAATATCGTAGTATGTAGGGGCAATTTCCTGCAGATAATGTTAGTAACTGTAAAATTGAACTCAAGGTGCTCGTGATGAAAAGAGAGCCATCTGGGGGTATCACTTACCAACAACCACTCAGGTCGGATACCTGTACATGTTCGGATGTATTGCTTGGACGTCAAGACAAACTCGTTGTAGAGGACCCAGTCGAACTCGGTACGGAGGACAGTTGAGGGGTGAATCAGCACAGCTTGGTCGTCCTTGACAGTACGATAGAGCTTGCCAGAGCTCTCTTTCATGGCGACCTGCATGAAGAAACCGGCGAGCAGTGCGCGCCGAATGTTGGTGTAGTAGTTCTTGTCCTCAAAAGGTGTCGACACCAGCTCCAAGCCATGCGTCTCCATGATGCGCTTGAGCTGAGCGCGAACGTTGTCGGCACTCGAAAGATGTCGGAAGGAGAGGAAGTGCTCGTGGCACCACTGCTTTGCACTGTTGGGGTCGGATGTTGCCTGGCCCTTGAAAGCGTGGTAGGCGTTGAGCAGGGTGAGGTGGTCCCCGTCGGGATGCGCAAACTGAGCCTTCATCTCATCGGCGCGCTTTCGATTGTTCGCAGGGCGAGTGAAAATCTGAGGAACTGAGAGAAGTGAGGTGATAGAGAGAATCTCGTTCGAGCAATAGAACTCGGGAGACGAGATAAGCATCACAGCCAGAGCAGGATCAAGTGGGAATGCTGAGGCCATGCTGCCGAGAGTGGTCAGCTCGCCATCGTCGTCAAGACAGGCAAGATAGTTGAGCTCCTCCAGGGCGCGCATCATGGTCTCAGGAGCAGGGGGGTCCATAAGATCGAAGTGGACAAGATCCTCCACACCAAGCTTCTTGAGCTCTAGAACGGTGTTGGCAAGATTGGAGCGCAGAATCTCGGGATATGTTTGCTCGATAAGCTCCTTCTTGAAGGCCTTCTCGGTGTACAGACGGAAACATTTTCCGGGCTTGGTACGACCAGCACGACCAGCACGCTGCTGGGCAGAAGCCTTGGAGATGGGTGAGACAAGGAGAGACTCGACACGGATACGAGGGTTGTAGATCTTCTGCTTGCTAAACCCAGGATCCACGACATAGACGATACCGTCGATAGTCAAACTAGTTTCAGCAATGTTGGTAGAAACAATGACCTTGCGACCAGGACGACCGCCCTTGCGAATGGGCGCAGGTGCCTTGTCGAAGATGCGCTGTTGCTGGTGGGGAGGCAGAGTACCGTATAGAGGGTAAACAACGAGAGGACCAGCGTCGACCTCGCGCATCAGCTCATCAGCCTCGAGACTGATCTTGCGACAAGCGTCCTCAATCTCGTCTTCACCTGTAAGGAAGAGCAAAACATCACCCTCGGGCTCTGAAGCGTGAATCTGGAGGACGGTTCTTATGGCAGCCTCGACGTAATCGCGCTCTGGCTCGGGGGTGTAGAAGATCTCGACAGGATGTGTTCGACCGGGAACGGCGAGTAGGGGCGCATCGTTGAAGTACTTTTGGAACTTTTGAGCATCGAGAGTAGCAGACATGATAATGATCTTGAGGTCGGGGCGGCGCATGGAGATCTGCTTCAGCAGAGCCATGAGGATATCGGTCGCGAGAGTACGTTCGTGAGCCTCATCGAGAATAATACAGCTGTAGCGGGACATCTCGTGGTCGTGCATGGCTTCGCGCAGAAGCATACCATCAGTCATGTACTTGAGCATAGTCTTGGGACCTGTCATGTCCTCGAAACGAATGCTGTAACCGACTTCCTCGCCCAAGGTGACGTCCATCTCGTCGGCGACACGCTGCGCGACCGACATGGCGGCGACTCGACGTGGCTGGGTACAGGCGATAAGCTTGCCAGTAAGATGAGGTAGCTCGTCGTAGACAACATATTGAGGAATCTGAGTAGTCTTTCCGGAACCTGTCTCACCGACAAAGACGAGAATCTGTGTTGAGTGGTATTTGTCTAAAAACTCTTGCCGTTGCTTGTGGACAGGAAGATCGCGGCGGCCCTGGAGAATCTGGAAGTACTTTTGCGAATGAGGTCGGCCGGTGAAAGGGTTCGATTCAGAGTCCTCTGCTTTTGAGGCCTGCGCAGCGGTAGTATGCTGTCTCTTCATACCAGCGAGAGGAGAGTCTGGCGAGGGCTCTGCGCCATGACCATTGCTGTTACCGTTGTCGTACATGTGAGCAAGGTAGGGGTTATATTTCTCGTCCTCGCCGTCCTTCTTGGCTTTCTTTCGCGTGGATTCGTCGGCGTCGGCGCTTGAGCGCTTTCCTCCCATGATATCGGACATTATTTTCGGTCAATGACAGGGAGAGGAGGTGAGAAAGTGGCGAGGCTGAAGCGGAAGGCCGTGGTGTTTTTGTTTTCTGCTGATGCTAGAAAATTTTGGCGGGGCCTTCTAGGCAGATGCTTATCGATAAGGATCCTTGTCACACAGTGCATAAAATGGAGCTGCGTTACTGGTTTATATCACGAGATGCAGCATATATGTGCGTGCTTGTAACATCAAGTGTCACATAGAAATCATGAAGTTGTATGTGAGAATGAGATTGCATTGGGTTTGGCAACATTTTTGCTATGAGAAGGTGTTTACCAGACTTGAAACTGGTTTACAGTACTGTTTCAACTCAAAATGGGCGCACACTGTGCTTTTTTTTTTCAGGGTCTTTACGAAGATCATCAGCTCTTTCTCTGGAGCTTGAAGCTTGCAACTCCAACTCACAGAGTCTGGGGGTACTTCTTGCATATAAACAACAAGAACTATCTCTTTGAATAGAAAAAGGCTTTCGATCACTGTCTCAGACTCTTTTCCTCTGTATACTCTTCATCGATACATCCCACTTCGCACAACTAAACGGTCTGGCTTGGTTTGGTTCGGCGGGGTGAATTTACTCCACCACCAGAAATCTCAACTTTATTTTGCTGTTGCTCCCTGAAGACTCCAAACGCAAACGTCGTCTCTTGGCAAACTCTAAGCTACAATTATGGCTTCTGACGACGCAGGCTTCGAAATGTCTGATAACTTTGGTCTTCAACGCCCCAGTTTCCATATTGGATACCACGACTCAAAGCGCGATGAGCCCCTCACCGACATGCAGTACGGCCATTTGCTCAACCATGGTGTAAGTCGCAAGCTTCCGCACCAAAGACCTTATTATCGATATATAATCTATGGGATATATGCGTGAGGATGTTCCGGGCCACCAATTGACTCTTGGATAGCTGGCCTTTGCAACGACTCCCATCACAAACACTCACTTCCGAGATCGCGTCTTCGCTCTCGTTTCTGGGCATCTGTCCGCTCTATCCGAGAATGGCGAGAAGCCTACCACCAGAGCAACTGGCTCACGAGCAGAGCCTATTCTGCCTCCTTTGACCCCCAAGGATACCGCCTTGTTCCCCTGTGCTGCTGTCAACACCTACACTGCAGTCATCAGCCCCTGGCTCGACCTTGGATCTTCCAACCCCATCATCTCAAGCATCTCCCGTCAGGTCCTCAATGTTGAGATTAACTATGCCAACTTCTGTGGTGTAAGAAGCATCATAATTCCTGGTCCTCGACAGGATGCTTCCCTCGATGGCGGCAACCAGAGTCTTGCTCAATACGCACGAGCTGTTGAGGAGGCTCTTACCATTGGAAACCGACTCACTTTCTTGATTCACATGCCTATGTATCGGGAGCCCGGCATCGATACAGAGGGAGCTAACATCTCTTCTCTTGATGTCAAGACTCCAACCAAGACCGAAGGAAAGGAGATTGATCTTCTGGCCGCTTGGGATTCATGGCACCACGTCCGCAGTGTCTGTAACTACAACCCCAGGCTCTTTGTTGGTACGCTCACACCACCCTCTTAGGATCCTTCATGAATGCTAACTTGATGAACAGCTTTGCAAATTCCCCGTGTTATGCCCGAGAAGGATCTTCAGGATCGTTGGTTTGCTGAGCCTTTGCACTACCTCACATTCAGCCCTGCTACTTTCCAGGCTAACAAGGCTGGTTTCCCATCGCTGTCTAAGCACCACCAGAACCTTATCTTCTCGTACATGCGCTTGAAGAATGTCCCGTGGATTCTGCTTTGCGACGTTGGCCCTGATGTTTCACACCTTAAGGACGGTCACCAATCTCTGCCAACCGCTCAAAACGAGTTCCCCAGCTTGGCCGAAGCTGAATCTCAGGACCAGTCATCCAAGACCAAAACCAACGACTATATCTCCTACCTGCGATGGCTTGAGGACCAGCAGCCACCATTCAGCTATCTCGAGAGCCCAACCTTGACCAGCTTCCAAGACTGGCTTCAGTCACCTCTCCAGCCTCTATCAGACAACCTCGAGTCAGCAACCTATGAGGTCTTCGAGGGTGACCCCGTCAAGTATAGCCAGTATGAGATTGCTGTGTTTGAGGCTCTCACAGAATGGAAAGAACTCAAGAAGCCTACCTCCAAGGACGGCAAGGTTGTGGTTGCTGTTGCAGGTTCTGGCCGTGGTCCTCTCGTAACTCGAGCACTCAAGGCGTCTGAGGATGCTGGCGTTCCTATCGATATGTGGGCAGTTGAGAAGAACCCCAACGCCTATGTCTACCTTTTGCGCCAGAATGACCTCGTCTGGGGTGGCAAGGTCAAGGTTGTCAAGACTGATATGCGAGCATGGAAAGGTCCTATCGTCTCTGAGGACGAGAATGGACCTGTATATGGCAAGGTTGATATCCTCATCTCTGAGCTTCTTGGTTCATTCGGTGACAACGAGCTCTCTCCTGAATGTCTTGACGGAATCCAGCATGTCATGTCCACACCCCATGGAATCTCTATTCCCAGCTCTTACACCGCTCATCTGAGCCCTATATCAACACCCAAGATTCACGCTGATATCCTCTCACGAGTATCCGGGGACCCTAACGCTTTCGAGACACCCTGGGTTGTTCGCCTTTTTGCTCTCGACTTTGTTGCCGAGAAGGTGCCCAACAAGCCCCGATTCCAGGAAGCCTGGGAGTTCTCTCACCCTATTCCTGAGTCTTCACTCGCGGCGCTGGAGGCAAAGCGCTCTGGCGGTGTTGTTGGAGGTGGTGGCGGTAGCATGGCTGGTGCCGCCGGTGCCAATGACCACAACTCGCGATATACTCATCTCACATTTGTCTGCCGGACAAGAGGTGTCACTCATGGATTGGCGGGCTACTTTGAGTCGACTCTATATGAGTCTCAGATTCCCGAGAACAAGGGAGATAAGATTGAAATTAGCACACATCCTGAGCGTATCGATGAGAAGAGCAAGGACATGATCTCTTGGTTCCCCATCTACTTTCCCCTCAAGGTAAATTCCCCCATCAGCAAGCATCGATGCATGCTAACAGAATTGTAGAAACCGCTCTACTTCCCAGCTGATACTGAGCTCGAGGTCAGCATGTGGCGACAGACAGATGACACCAAGGTGTGGTATGAGTGGCTCGTGGAGGCTTTCACATGGGTTAGTCCAACAAGCCGTGTCAAGGTTGCTTCCTCAGATCTGTGCAGCAGTCGGCAGGTGGCATGCTTGATGTAGACGGATGGCTTAGATCATGGTGGGAAGAACTGGCTGGGATAAACGATGTGACGAAAGAAAAGTTTTGCTTATGCGTTTGAAAAGGTCAAAAGTCTTGAGGTTTGGGGACTACAGTCGCTTGAAATGTCAAGTGATCGTAGCCTGGATACAAGCTAACTGTTGTTATTCGCATGATGGTTCACTATTAGAGGAAGTCACATAGCATTTTTAAGACCGCTGTGAAGATGGAGAACCATCATTAGCCTTGAATATCTACATCAGGTGTCCTTATGATGGAGTAACACGCGATCAACCCACGTATTGTGATCCAGGCTATTGTTCTGATCGACTGTAATAGCAACCGACTCAATGCTGATCTTGCCAATACACATGATGGCAAGTGAATCAAAGTATCTGCCATAGTCTTTGTTGCTGGTCTATTCACATGCTATGTTCCACTAGTCCGAGCTTCAATTGAAGTCGGTGTCGGTCAACTTCCGACCAATGCACATGCTTTGTCTCACTTTATAGAAGACTCTACCTGGCAGGTCGAAGAGCATAGGTGCCTAACAACTGTATTTACGGCTCGATGGACGGGAAAAGTGATGATGCATACGATGATACAAGACAAGGTCATGGATGAGTTGTGATATACTTCTCGACTCATGAGACGTTTTATATGCAGAATTGACATGCCATATTAAGGCACAAATACAGATGTAATACTCCTGTTGTCCGACAATACTTGACTTTATGAAACAAGCCTTCCTTTTCCCCGATGAAATGTGCCCATCATGACATGTCCATGAGTGGCCAAAGGAGTCCGTATTTTCAGAACTGGCTGTACCTGCAGCGCCTCTTACGCCTCCTCGTTTTAACGGAGAGTAACAAGACTTCTAGTCAGTTGAATACTTCCAGTGGTATCTTCATGTGCTACCTAGACAGTCTGAATATAGCAAGACGAGGCGACACACAAAACGCGGGGGAATTAAATTAGCTACGCCTTGATCGTCGAAGTGCATAAACCCCAGATTCTCAAGTAAAATTGCCTCTAACCTCATCAGTAACCACCAAATAACACACCGTAATATCAGGTACTGCCCTACGAGGCGGCTCTAGACTCACTCTCATAATCGTCAGTGTAAGTCAAAAGCCGGAATAACCCGGCGTCCAAGCTCGCACCATATCCATCCATCGGCAAGACTCGGCCAAGCCCTGTAATTTTTAGCAAAATAATTATGGAGTCAAACATCGTCATTCATCAATTCCATCTTTCTCCAATTCTCCATGTGGAGTTCGGTTTTTGACGTTACTCATGAGAATCCCGGTGCCGGAGCCGGGACCGGGAACTGAATCGTGTATGTATTTCCCCAGAAAGAGAAGGAAAAGGGAGCCTCAATTGACTTGTAGAGTAGACGCCGGCGGACACTACGAAACTGTAAATCTTTCAGGTCCCAGTAGAGGTGAAGAAGAAGAGCCGGGGCCGGGTATGAGCCGACTGGAAAACCCCTGGAAATAAATTAAGAGAATAGTTCGTGAGAAGACGGGTTCTAGGGTGGCCAAGGATTGTACAACGCCTGTTGACCAGGGCGAGTGGCATGTCATGTTGCATACTTGTCATGACACTCTAAAAACATGGCGAGACATCACGGTAAAGACACATCACAGGTAGGGCGTAGATATAATAGTATAACCTTTTTTTCTGGTATTGAATATTTCTACCAAAAACAACTCCTTTGCTCAACGCCGTGGTGCTCCTTGCTTGCTGTTAAAGCTTCGCAGGTAGGTCTCCAACTGTACAGAAAGAAATGGCATTGACGCCAGTCGAGAACAAAAAGCACGGAGGTCGCAACGTTCTCCGCAGTCGGGGGGTATTCTCTATGTAAAAACCCGACTTTTTTGCTTTTTCCCGTCTTCTCCCTCTCTTTCGTGGTGCATATACTAGCCCCTCGTTTCATATGACGCTCCTGGCGACGTAGTACCGTAGTGCCCTAAGTGGTTTCTCGAAGTGAACTGCAGTTGGAAGCATTGTCCTAGTCTGCATGTCTCGATGGGATGGGTCTGCGTACCCCTCCCTGAAATGCACAGTGAAGTTGATCACTATGTGCATGGTCACTCGGCGTCCTCGTATACTATGTCGTGCAGGATGTATGCTCCAGGCAGTAGGTCCTGGCTCTCGTCATAATCTGCGCGCCATCGTAGGTATTTATTTGTTCATCCCGTCTTTTTTCATCCCACCGCTCCACCTATAACTCCTCGCCTGTGGCGGGAGACATATTTAACCGAAGAGAGCAGCGCCGCCGGACTCGATAGCCTCGATCTCAGCGGCGTTGAGGGGAGCGCGGTGGAAGCGAGTGGGGAGCTCAGAGACGTCAAAGGCAACGCCCTGAGGAGGCTTGACGGAACCGAGGGAGGCAGCGGGGGTGCCGCCGAAGCCAGACTTCTGGAGAGGACCGTGCTGCTGGACGTGGTCGCGGTAGGAGCTGAAGGACTTGTGGGTGGTGACAGCATCGCCGTTTCCGTAGCCGGACCAGGACTCGGGGAGCTTCTCGACTCCAGAGGCAGGGTGAGGCTTGGGGGTGTGGTCGACGTTGGCTGTAGAAGACGGTGTTAGCTTGTGCTGAGAGGGAGCGGGCGGTATTGCTCAATACCAGCGGGTTTGACATACAAGGAATGGTTCGGGGACCGAGGAACTTGATGAGAGGAGTTCGCTCAGCGTGGACAGCAGCCTGTCGGAGGGCTCGAGTGGCAGAGAACATTGTGACGGTTGTGTAGGTGGTTGGTCGGGTAGTTCGGTAGATGTTGATGAGATCGAAGAGTGAAGAGCGTGCTTGCTAGGATGAGAGATGCCGACGATAAGAGTGAACTGACGAAGACGCAATTGGGTTGAGAAGAAGAAGAGCGAAGGGTTAAAGTAAGAGACGAGCGTGGGAGAGGGCGCGATTATGTATTTGAGGAATTTTTTGGGATGGGATGGAGTGAAGTTAGCTCAGGCCAAGGTAACCTCCCAGCCAAGCCCACCTCAGTCAAGCCCAGTCCAGGTTGGACCGCGCCGAAGCGTAGCACATCCCAGGCGCTGCAATCCACGCACGCTCAGGTCACTTACAGGGAAGGTCCCTAGGCAGCTGCTAGTGGCTTCTGTTAGTGGCAGTCCCGTCGAAATGGCGCGAACTGGGCTCAAGCGAGCTAAAAGGTTGGGAATCCACATCCACCAGGAAAAAACCTCGACACGACCAAGAGAAAGAAAAAAACAGGCCACAATTGGTGGCATTGAGTTGCATGTCCACAGAACAACACGTTACCCACACCCAGAAATCAGAAGCAATTGTGCCCAAACGAAATAAGACTGGGATGAGTTTGTTGACTTTCCCCAGTGGCACAGCAGAGACATCCAACAATAGAGTTGAGTTGTTCGAAGACGTGGGATGGGGCATGGATGCTACAGCTACAGCAGGGCCAAAGACTCCGCTACCTCGCATGTGCATTCACTTGCATTTGCCATGAGAGACAGACAGAGGGGGACCAGATTTACTTGTGACAGTCTCCGATGGACGGCCTCAAGGAAGTTGATCATAAGCTGAGAGAGGATGATGATCATCCCTCCACAAACCCATCTTGCATGAGTCGAGACAAGTCGGTCCTTGATGCCGTCGGCGGATATACCGTCCTGCATTACAACACTCCAAGCAATGGATGTCTGGGGTTAACGACCGGAGTTGGGCGGAATGGCGTGGTCTATCACCTTGAACAACGGGGTTAAGCAGCCGTCTTCAAGGCTACAGCTTGTTCACCTTGAAGTCAAAGGTGAAGAGTAGTCAAAGCCAAGATAAATCCCCGAACCGATAACTCCAGGCACCACAAGCGAATTCACCGGCATCCTCAACCGAACCGAAAGTTGGAGTAGCTACTACCCAACTTGATGCTATTCACTACTACCCCAAACTCCGAAGATGGCCACTATCATGACTGCAAGTTTACATCCCGATGCACACACATTGATCATCTACCATTTGCCGTCTTGAATCTCATGGCACTTGGTTGGAGAAGCTCTCCCCCTTGCGCCCCAGGTTCGTTTGCGCCGGGGAACACACATTGCCTTTTTGGGAGAGAATGTTCGTCTGGGGCACGGCGTCCGGGGGAGACCTTTGAATGTGTGGTTGGTGGAGGACGGGGGTAGACTAGAGGCTAGAAAGCGGACAGATGGGCGCATGTGCGAGTGATGATCGTTTCTCAAGTCAAGACGAGGCTGGAGGGTCTTCTCCTCTACTACACTCTGCTGTATACATCAGCTACACCACATGGCTATGCTGGTCTGTACAGCACAAGCGAAGAGCTCCGTGCCGTGTCCGTGCCATCCGAGGCTGGTCATTGACGCGATCTCACCAAACAAAGGCCTCAAGGGAATTAAAAGCTAAGGCCACGTCCATGTCATTGCTGGACCCTACCTACGTAATTGAAGTGCTTCCCCCTGGTCCGGACTCCGAACGCGAAACGTTGTTGCGCTGGGTGAGTTTAGCTGCCGCTCTATGCGGAGCGGAGAGGAGCGGAGGCACATGGTCCAGACAGGCTAATGTAGGGCCTAAGACGCCGACATACAAGCGTGAAAAGACCAGCGTTACAAATTGGAGAGGAGGGAGGGCAGGTAATACGGGGGGAGTGATAATGCCGAATAGCGAAGGATTCAGCGAGTATTGGAAATCATCTTGATTGATAATGGTATTCGGAGTTACATACTCATCTCATTACTATGATTCAAGACTATGGCGGAATTGTTCATTCGCACCATAACGGAATGAAGACAAGTGGACTTACCGATTTAATTACATGATCTTCAAATCGTAAGACGTGGCATTGTCCCCCCGCGGTCTTTGGTCTTTGCTGTTGTTGTGATTGATGTTGTTGAAAAATAAAAAGTTGATATCTCTGAATCAAGATGGTGTTTTGACCAATCCCGTGTCGAGAACAGGCTATGACAGATTCAGATTACATCTGGTTTATGAGTAAAAGATACGTACCCAGCCTCCACTGTCTGAATCGCATCTCGTTTCTGCGGCTGGGGAAGCATCGCTAAAAACGTGGTGGATTTGGTAAGAGAGTCCGACAGATCTAACGAGATATCTGTTCGTATTTTATACAATGGTTGTTACTTTTGAAGTGGTTATTTGTAGATATGTCGACTTGAATGAGTTACTCCGCAGAATGGCATCTGATCCCGATATTATTCTTTCAAGACAACTATTCTGCTTAACTCCCATCTTCCGTGGGAATTGACCTCGCGTAATACTTCCAAAGTCAAAAGGCCCGGTCTTCCATCAATTGCCAATCTTCACTCAGTGATTCAAGATCCTCCACCTCATCAACCTCACTTCTCTTGGAAAGCGCTTACACCGGGATCCGGCATCGGGCGTGGAATGGTCTGTGCTTGTTCTATTCCATGCATCGTGTCACTTTGAGAGCTCCCATTGGATCTGTTGGATTAGCTTATTTCGTGCCTCACATCAAGTTCCCGCTCCTTGTCCTCTTGGGGTAATTCCGCTGGCACGTGAAATCGAAGGAGGAGGTTTCCTTTCATGTTGGAAATTCTGAGGTCGAATCTCGACTTTTCATCTTTGCGTTTCGTATGTGATGGCATTGTCTTTGTGCCATGAAGTCGGCTGTTGGTCCTGAAGACAAAGAATAGAAGGTAGACTAACATTTCAATTTGTGCTATATAAACAGTGAAAAGAATGAAAGAATGTTTGGCAATCAATTGACGACAGGCCAACCTCATTGTTGTCGTTGCTCTCAGCCTGAAGCTTCCATCTCTTCTTCGAAATTGGACAAATTCACAGAAATCTGTGTGCTTCCATCCCGCTACCCCTCCAGACCGATAAGATAACGAGTTTCTACCAATCAAATCCTCAAGTTCCCATCTGGGGAAACCACTTAGCCAGTACCTTCCAAAATGGGCCGTTGCCACTGAACCCATCCTGACTTACACTGAGGGCCATACAAACATCCATCTATGGATATCTATGCCCTCCAGCTGTTGGGACCAGTCAGCCGTGGAGTTGTCAAAGCATGGTTTGCCTATTTATTATTTCTTCGACATGAGATTACTCGCTAGTAGTACCTATTGGATGAGCCGCATAGGCAAAGTACTTCACAATTGCCGCAAATCCTGGCCATGCCTGATATCTTCCGAGTGGAAAGTGAAGCGTTTCTCCTGAAAGCACATCAAGGCCATCTCGCGCGCTGACTCCTTTGATTTTCCCGGCAAGAAGATATGGCCTCCCACGGTAGACCGGAACATAAACCGCCGGAGCGATCTCAAGAATCTCTCTTTAGCCTCAGGTGTGCAACGATACTCAGTGTTGGCACCCTTTCCCTGAACACCATAGAGATGGAGAGTTATCTCGCGTCTGGGTGTAAATTGATCGCTATAAAGAGGTCCAGGAAAGATATCAGTGAGCCATTCGAGCTGAGGGACCCCTCTTGGCTCACTCAACTGAAAGGAGCAATAGATCTCGAATGATCTGGTTTCTTTAACGTTTTCACTGAAGGGACAGTGATGCACGTAAAGACGGAATTGCTTTGGATCGTGGAGAACCAGTGTATTTGAGAGCAGGATCGGGAGAGCCTCGTTGTACCTGTAGGGAATTGATGCCAATACATTCCTGTTTAGTAATAAAGCAGTAACAGAGAGCTCACACTCGTTGGCATGTATAGATAATATTCATCCCTTCCAGACATTGCCCAGAGTTTGGCAGGAAGAGAGACTCATCGGGTACTCTAGGAGATGAACCCTCATCGCATCTGCGGTAGCGCCAGCAACCCGTTGGCTTAGGATGATAGAGATATTTGTTCGAGTCCTTGGACTCAAAGAGAGCAACGTGAACTCGGGAGCGACCAAATAGCTCGCAGTATATACGAAATCGAAGCTCCCAGTCGAGCTTTGCGAAAAGGCGTGATCTCTTCTGGAGAGACTGCCACTGTGCGCAAAATCTGGGTTCCATGGCTAGGTAGAAGACGTTCTGTAGCATATAACACTGTCAGTATTGATTAGTAGAGGAGGTCGGATTTGACTTACAGGTGAGTGTCGGTTTGGTGTATTGATTCACATTGTTCTTAGAAGGAGATGACAGCTTCAACCTCGAATGGATGACTTGCAAACTGCGCGACGGAGATCTGCAAAAATGAGAAGCTACTGACTTATATAAAGAAATAATAAGGTTTATGCTCCGGCGTGAGTCATTTATTGTGGATGTATTGATTAGAGTTGGGGCAGTGACTCTGAAGACGCAGATGCAGCTTGAAAACCATCTCTTGAACGACTTGCACCGAGGTTGGCTCGAAGTGATGGTATACTTTAAAGCCTGTTAAGTCTTTTACTTAATGAAGCCTCATAAGCCACCTCAAGTGACCAAAGAGAGTGAACTGACGGGTAAGAGGTCTCAGGTCCAGAGAGCATACGGAGGGTCTGGTGCGTGCAAGGTCGCGGAAGTAAAAAAACAAACCAGAATGGATTATGGAGTTTTCAGGGCAGGTTCTTATAGTGGAAGGCAAGTCATATTTCAATAAGTCAGCAGAGATGCTGTAAGTTATAAAGGTGTATTAAGAATGCAAGGCTTATTTGGGCACATGTGAATAGATCATGTTGAACGCTGGCAGACACTGATATAGACCTACGGTAGGCATCCACGTTACCTTATAAATGACCCCTATGATGAATTGCAGGGCATTTTAATGTTAACTGGAAGGATGAATCAAATTGCACAGTAGTGCTGGTACACAAGACAATATCCTCCTCTTAAAATACCCCCCCTGCTCCTCCTCCACGCCACTATCTCTCCCTCCACACGCATCATCATCTCAACACCGAAGAAGAACACAAACCTCCCAACATGGGGCCCGAGTTCGAAAAGGGCCATGCCCAGGATGGCTCCTTATTCTTTACGAAGCTGCATCCGGAACTCAGACGCCAAATCTTCATCTATCTCTTTGGAGAGTCAACCGTACACATCAAGTTTCATCAAGACAGGGATCAGTTCAAACGCGAGGGCCGCCCTAAGCCGTCAAAGATCCCTGGGTGGTGTCACTGTGTCTGCAGAAAAGGACGAGAAGCTCTTCCACATCGACACTCAGAAAAAGACCACAAATGGTGCTACCTTTCGGCGAATGTTATGTTCACCTGCAAGTGGGCGTGAGTATAGCAAATGCAAAGTGATCAAAGACTTGAAACTGACAAGTTGTAGCTTTCAGAGTGGCCTCCACGTACTCTATGGTACCAATCAGTTCATGCTCGATAATCTTAAGGATTATGCCATGTTCAGGCAAGTATGCACCACAGATCTTGATACTCTGGAAATATGCTGACTTGAAGGGTTTCCCAGCATTGATGACGCCCTTCTACATGGCCATGAGAAGGTGCATCGCCAGGCCAGGAACGGCAGATATATTCGGGTTTTGAGACATGTATTCTGTGCCAGATACCAACGCAAACTGTAGCAAGTATGACAGATGGGCTGATAGGCCTTGAGATTTGCCTTCTCGTGTAGTACATGCTGTTTATCTCTACTTCAGAGGTAGCTAGAATTCTCAATCAAAGATGAGCATCTTAAAATACCGAAGCTTTGCACATGAAACTCCACAGCTGCATTTTTCTTCCTTTGACGGGGTCATGGATGGTCCCTTTTGACAATGCAGTGATCCATGTAGTTGTGATGTACCAGGATCGGAACGGGTGACGGCTCCAATTTGTATTTGTAATGCCATGATTGTGAAAAAGACCTTATTTCAGGAATCAATTCCTGTACGGCGTGAATACAACAGAGATGCCCTACCTTTATCCTTTGGAACAAACTGTTTGGCAGTGCAATCCTTGTTCCTTCACTACCTTCGCTTCCCCGTTGCCTTGTTTATGAACTATTAATCATTTCATTTTCCTTGTTTTTCTTTTCTCCTTGTTTTTCTTGATTCCCTCAAAACCGTCAACGACCCGGAAAGCCTCTCTAAGCAAACCTCAACTGTCAACTGCCAAGTCAGACATCAAGGTCTACCTTAACCATGCCGTATATGGCATCCTGGCAGGTGCAGAGATACAAGGAGGCTCCCGAGAATTCGCTCTTTTTCGACAAGCTCAACCACAATATCAGGCAACTTATCTACCGTGAACTCCTAGGATCGCACAGGATCCATATCATGCGTGAAGAAAGAACCCCTTCTTCTGATAGTCGATTGTCCTGCCTACATGGAGTTAAAGTACATACCAACATACTCCTAACCTATAAAGCGGCGTAAGTGTATTCTTATAAATACCCATGGTGGATAGACCGACTGACTTGGACAGCTTCAGCGAGGGAATACGCCTCTTTTATCAACTCAACACATTCTACTTCGCCGTCCCAACACACCTCATCCAATTCTTCACGGATATCAACTGGATGGCGGTCCGTCGAATTCGATCTTACGAGCTCACGTGCATTTTTGAAAATAAATACGAAAAGCCCATTCTAGACCTTGATGTACTGACTTGGACTCTGGACCGCTACCTTCCCCGTGGGAATGTCAAGGTCAAGCTTGAGATGGTCCCTGAATGCATCAATAGGCCTTTCAGCAAACCTTGTAAACAAAAAACTGTCGAGGCTCTGGGACGATTTCTCACACTTCGAAAGCTGAGGGCTGCTGTCGTCATCATGCCTCACGGCTTCGAGCAAGTGATGCAGAAGACGATGGAGACTTTGGGTCCTCACATTTCGTTTGAGTTTCGTGAGGAAAGACGACAGGAATGTTGGCCTGTCGCTAACCTGGACGAGCTCATGGATTTTTTGCATCCCGCAGCCCATCAGGTCCTTCTTCTAGGTACTCCTCCCCCCCCTTCAGCACATCAGTAACACCATGAATCGCGTTCTGCAGCCAGTACTGCGTTCCGTTTGGAGTTGCGAGGGTCTTAGCCACGACGCCATCTCCAACCAGGTATCTCTCATCCAGCGTCCCCAAGTACAGATCAAATATTGGGGTGTAATCAGCTGAGCGCCATGCAATCGATGTGCCACAGTCACCGCAGAAACCACGGAATCGACCTGGGGAGGACATGTACTCTTTGAAGGATGGGAAAGTGTTCAGTGCTGGACGAATTTGCTGGGGAGATATGACGAGGAATTGGGCGACTAGGGAGGATGTCCACTTGCGACACATGGTACCTGTTTTATGTTTGTTAGTTATTTTGGAGTCTATTGATGGAATAGACATACATTGGCATGCTGATGACTGTTCGCAAGTGAGTTAGTTAAAGTGATTAAAGACCACTCAGGCATAACTCACAATTGGTGGCCACGGGTACTCTTCGCTAAAGTTGACGGTGTACCGAATAGCACCACAGAGACATCCGCCTGTGATATCAGAAGGGGTATCTTGGTTGTTGTCGTTCATGATGGTCTTGTAGTGTGCGAAATAGATGATCAGGGAGACAGAATATATAAAAGTCGACGGCCATTGGTATGAGAACCGAAAGGTCGTCGGCTTAGCGTTGATGTATGCGAGAAAGCAGAACCGATTGGATAATATTCCCGTTCATTCAAGACAGCCAGTCATGAATTGCACAGGCACATGAAGATGCTATGCACATTCGACTCTGGTCAGCATCGTACATTATGAAATGATGAAAAAGGCGATATGAGAGATGCACTAGTTGGAGGCGATTTAAGTTAAAGTTCTACCCTCGCAATAAAAGATAAACAAGACAAAGTACACTTTATGCCCCAGAATCCTACAACCCAAAGAGCCGCCCAGTTACGGGATGCATCTGTACACGAGGACTCGGAGCCTTGTTGGGTACACCAGTGAGGCGAGTATCGTTGAGGAGCAAGAGATATATCCAGATTAAACATTGGATGCCAACGAAAAGCGAAACATAAGGTAGCCCAATAGTGCGTTTGGAGCAACGAATCACTCCAGGCTAACGCCAAAAATACGGCATGATGTATGAGCCAGTCCATCAATATTCTGTGTGTATGTTGTATTCTATTCCTGCGATGATATTAGTTGACATATCTCTCAGAGATAAACCCCGTCCCAGTCATTGTTCATCAACCTGCTCATTACTCTCACTATCAGTTAAAGATTCATCATCTGGTTCTTGGTCAGAAGACGAGTCATAGTGGCTCGGAGGCTTGTGAGGACACATGTTAAGCTTCAATCCCCCCTCTAGTTTTTCCGACCATATTCCCATCACAAGTTCAGAGAAGCCATCCATACCACAGCCATCAATTACACAAGTGACTCGCCCATTGCCGACGAGCGTTTCAAGGCCGACCCTGATAGCCTGGCTTGCAAGTCTCTTGCTCTCAACAGTGTGTTTAGGCCATGGCTCGCCGTTGCTCAGATGCACATGAAGACGCAAGTTGGGCTCCTGCTTCATCTTAGACAGAGTATGGCACAGCATTGTGAACTTGATGGGTTGTGGCCTTCCTGTCTTCTCAAGCTCGCTTCCATAGCAGGCCAGATCGCTGAATTCGATCGATACTGGAGTATCGATGTGTGTGAGTAAATGTTTCAGGTCAGGGGCAATCTGATATCTTTGAAACTCCATAAATTCACCCGAAGCTTCAAACTCGAAAGTGTTTGTCTGATAAAGAATCTTGATACCCTGCTCAAAGCTAGCGGCAGTATAGCCATTAGTAAGAATGGCAGTGAGCACTAGAAGGATGACTTACGCTCGCTTGCAAGTAAGAATGAAGGCTGATGACAAATTCGAGTCTCACACTGCGCCCCAGGGTCAATCCCCCTTCTTCCGACTTCCTGCCGAGATACGCAACATGATATACAAAGAACTTTTCGGGAGCAGGGTAGTTCATATCTGGTTCCATCGATGCAATGAAACTTATGACCAAGAAGGAGCTCCAGATGATTCCAGGGTCCAGTGGCTACACTGTGTTTGTCACCTTGGTCGTAAGGCGGTTCCTCATTTCCACGAGGAACATGACCACGAATGGTCTTATCTGTCCACAAACATCCTCAGGGCATGCCAGTTGACGTAAGTCTCAATAATTTTATCTCTGGTCTTTTTCTCTAGCTTACATTGAAACAGATACACGGAGGGCATCCCAATCCTCTACGGGACAAACACCCTGTCTTTTCGCTGTCCTGCAGATCTATCCCAGTTCCAAGATTCCGACCGTCATTTCTCACGTCTAGTCCAAGCCTTCGACCTATACGGGGCGTACAACAGCCGGCACTGGCGAGTAATTGATACCAACAGCCGTACGTACCCGCTAGCACACGATGATCGCACGTGGTTGCTGTCCATGGAATACTTCGACCTAGCGTTTCAAGCAGTTTGGCTCTTAAGACGCCCTGCTCTTGTTAGCAACGCCATTGTCGCGCCCAAAGTCGTACGTCTATTTTCCGAAAGCAATGACATATTTCTTTTGTTTGGCTCTCTTGCTCTGGATGAGTTGGAAAATATGCCTTCTGAGAAACTTCAGATCTTCGTCAAGCGTATCCCTGAGAACTCCTCTGTCACCAAAGCCATCAAGAAGATCCGGAAGAGGTTGCCAAACACGAGCATCGAGGTTGTCACGAAAAAAGAATGAACAGTCTGGGATCTTGGAGAGAATGACGAAGACGAACCGATATCTATTTCCCCCTCCGAAGCATCTGATGTCGAAGATTAGGACAAATTTTTATCTTAATTATCTAACGAGGCTTCTCTTGCAAGCATGAGTAATCTTAAGAAGGACCTCATAGGGACCTAGCTCATGATACAGAATTGTACATGCATCATCTGTCGTGGCCCATATCAACCCCAAAACAATAAAACAACTTGACCCATCTATCATAATCCAATACGCACCGTATACAACAATACAACAACACTCTCATTTCCTCTCATGAACGTCCATCCTATGCAATAATACAGTAGCCTCTTACGTCCTCTTGCGAACAACATCCCGAACAATATTTCTACACTCACTCGGATCCTCAAACACATGCCAGGCATCAACCGGCACATTCTTGAATGCCTTCTCAAACCTCTCTAGCTGGTTCTTCTCTTTGATGCCAATAGCAGCGACGTCGGTGGCTTTGCGAATGAGTATCATCTTGACCCAGCCTGGGAATGTTCGATAGCTACAAGCGAGTCAGTAAAGAGGTACCATATCAGTCTGAGTTACTTACATCTCGCCGTATGCTTCAGGATCGGATTGTGTCGAGTCGCCGATGAGAATGAGCTTTCTCTTTGGTAACCACGAGTGAATCTTCTTCATGCGATCTGCCTTGTACTCCTCAGTTCCCATTGTCAGCGCCGACAACAAACCTGCTACTGTGCGCCAGCTCGAATCTCGGAGGATCAGTGTGCCTTGCGGGAAGTAGCGGTCTCGGAATTCTCGAAGAAGAGGGTATAGGTTGTATGGAGATGCTGAGAGGTAGAACCAAGGAGTGTCGCGGGGGAGAAGAGTCTGGAGTTCGGAGTAAAGCTCGGACATGCCAGGGACTGGTGTTGGCTCGTCGACAAAGGTAGTCTTGAGGATGCCCAGTGGATCACTGGTCAAGGTGACCTTGATGGTGTCGTCGACATCTGAAACATGTTAGTATAAACAGCCGATAGCTAAGAATCATTGGAACATACCTGATATAACAGCCCAACCCTCGGGTCCAGCATAGTAAGTCTGCATATCGCGAAGGCCTTGAGTGCCTTGAGGTACCAACGCCGTGGCATCAACTACCGACCCCTTATGGGCGTGATGAAGAGGCTCAACACTCGTCGTAATACCATTAATACTCGTCGGTCCCAACTTAATCTCCTTCTTCTTATGCTCGATCCAGAAAACTCTCGCTGCTTGAATGTCCCAGAGGAACGGGATGATTCTCTTCTCAATAACATCGCGCTCAGCCGCATCGTCCGCCAAACCCAACGTTGAGGCGATTCCAGATACTATATCCGCCACACGACACTTGGGCTCGTTCTCAAACACGGCAGCGACAAACTCGGCCTCCCACTGATCGGTCTCAGGGTTTCGGTATGCCGTGTTATCCATCAACCACACGATATCACCAGCGTCGACAGCTTTTCCGAAGGGATTCCATTGCGCAAAGCGCGAGAGCCACGCCGAGACATTGATAGGGGCGGAAAGAGCAGCAGCTTGTGTCTTTTGGAAAGCAGCGGATTTGGGATCGGGCAGATCGTGCTCGATCTTGTCAAAGTTTCGGGTCTTTCGAGTGCGCAGTTGCATATCGGCTGCGAAAGCGCGAGGATCAAAGTCTAGTTTGTCCGCCATCTTGAAATGCGATAACGAGCTGAAGATATATACTACAGGATGAGTTGCCTTGGGGAGGCAAATGAGGTCTCGTGCTGTATGAGTCCTAGGAGCAGTGAGGCTGTATCAGGAGCCGCAAGGTCTCGTGGATGTCTAGGTCAGGTTTCAGGGCGTGAAAGTGCGAAAAATAGGCAGCGAGACAATGTTTTATGTTTATTCTCGAGGAGGAAGTCTCATGGATTACAAGAGAAGGTTCAAGGCCTCAGTCACAGGAGGAAAGCTCGTGTGTTAAGGACCTGCCAGCAGCTCAAGTCTTGGCTTTAATATACGTGACCTCATATGGAGGTCAAATCAATAGCGCAGGACATTGTTTAAAAGGCTGCGACGTGCTTTGTTTAAGGTCTTGGGCTTGTGACGTCGGTGCGTGATACTAGCGACGCCGATCTTTTTGGCTTGTGGGGGTGGAGAGTTACCCGCGTGGGCGCTATGCCTAGAAGAATGACCCGTCCGAAGCCAAGATTGGACCGTTTGAGTGTGGCTTGCAGTGGGCAGTGCTTTAATTCTGTCAAAAACAGGAGTCGGAGAGCATTAGAGTGTGTTCATGTCGGCATCATATTCGCAGTTGACCTCTCGGATGTTGGATTTGCCAGGCGAGAAGAGACCCTTGTAGTGATCGATCGAATATACAGGGGTTAGATCAACTGCCGTATTACGTCACATCCTTAACTCGACCGTTAACTGTTGGATCACAAGATGGCCATAATGTAAGGTACCAAACCAGGAAAGAAACGGACATGTAATCCTGCAGGTTACGAATTAACCTTTTTGTTGGTCAATCAACTTTAACTTAATCTCTTACCAACAAATCTCGACGTTTCATGGTGTCGCGCTTCCTGGTAGTAGATCCGCCATCGAGCCGGCGATCTCGGCCTCGGGAGAGCCCCTTGTTAGTGCCTCAAGGTTCGGCCCGTACGTCGAGAACAGACTTTGTAGGCACTGATGGGGCTCACAGGGTTGTCAAATACGTATTGGCACTTGTAGCTTATAGATACGAAGATGCTCGTTCTCGCTCGTATTGATCAACTAAAGCGATTCTATCTACTCCTAAACGCCAACCATTCATCCTGTCTTTAGTCATATATGCATTTCCATGTCTCTAACCACCGGGTATCAACCAATACCAATGCAATGCAATGCAATGCAATGCCAAATGCAAACTGGAAACCAACTCATTATACACGCTTGCTTGAACTACCATCCCCCATATAACCATCCCTGTTTCTTCTGTGGATTGAACAGCTCATCTTTGATTTCTTGCACAACCGCTTTAACCACACCCTTCGTGGCCCTTTCGCTTATCGTAAATGAGTCGTAGAACAAATGGTCGTTCTCAACTGCACAGTCAGCCGTGAGCTTGCCCTGATCGATAGTGAGATCGGACATATCAGCCTTGACACATGAAGTCCAGACATCGGCGAATCGCATCGTCGCGTTTGGTGACATTGTGCCGCGTCCTCGCAGGTCTACCACAGCCGCATGCTGCATCTCACCCTCTGTCATAGCGTCGAGAAGTACCTTTCCAATGTCCACCGCCAGCCCGTTACGCATGGGGTATGGAGCTTGGATAACACGCTCGTCCTCGTATGCCTTCTTCGCCGAGTCTTTTGTGTCTTCGCTGTGATCAACTGGCTCAACACTCTCTGCTCTCTTGCTCTTGCTTGACACTTTCTCCTCAGAAGCCGACTTCTGGGGTTTCTTGGTCGATCTCTCATTCCACTCAGCAACTGCGAAATCCACCTCCTGGTTCCAATATTTGGTCAGTTCCGCAGCATTTCGAGTATGCTCTACCACACTGTTGGGTGCTGGTGGCGCCTGTCGAGCTTGCCACGCCGGTGTCAGGGAAACGTCGAATATCATGGGTGCTATAATGCGAAAGCTCTCGAACTTGCGTTTGTCGACATTATCCAAAGCGCCGGGTGCTGTCAGCTCTCTAATCTGGGTGTCGGTCGCATTTGTCCAAAAGTCCGAGAACGCGATAGAAGTTGGGTCTAGTGATCGTTCGTATAGTATTTCAGCCTGGTCAAGGATAACTCTCGCCATGTCTGTTATTATATCCTCCGACTTAGTCCTTGGCATTGCGGCCATATTCCAGACTTCCCAAGTGCCGAAGCTGAAGATCCAGAGCGTTTCGCGTGGGGGAAGCTCAGGTGGTGGCATCGCGAGGAAGGTTTTCACTTGGCTGGCTAGGTCAGGGACTGTGTCTGGAGTTGGGTATTGTTTAGAAATGTAGCTGTAGTCGAAGGCTGGTTTCTTCTTCACGTCTGTGTGTTTTGTGATGTTGAGAAGATCCTTGACACCTTTTTCATAGAGTTCATTGCTGATGAGGCCCCTGTTCGGTTGGCCATCTGGTACAAATGAGAGATAAGAACTGCAGTTGAGCTAAGTATCTGTTAGCAAGTAATATTGGTATCACATTGTCGAACTTTGGTGACCTACCTCATCACACAACTCTTCTGTCCATGTTTTGCGCTTGGGATCTTTGACGTTACCAACGACATCAGGGGATCCAAACACCACAATCCTCAGATTTAATTCGGGTTCTGGCTCATGTCTACCCCAGGAAAATAATCCAGTGTAGCCGTTTCCGAGCTGTCCACCTGATAGTCGATTTGGTAACACGCCGAAGATAAGAAAGCTGGTCAAGAAGATGGCAGCGATCTGAAGGGTGAGCTTAGGCGCGCCGCGCCAAACGCGAGTAGAGCAAAAGATGAAGAGGTTTTTTCCACCAAGTCTACTCATGACAGAATCTTGACTGGCACGACGACCTGGGAGTTGATGGTCGAGCTCTGCGGGTGATTTCCATCGTGCTTGAAACATGATGCGCTAGAGTCGAAGACAAGCGACTAAGAGAAAAAGGCACGGTGATTTCGAGAACTGATGTGGGCCATGGGCAAAATGTATATGTCGTTTGGTGTTGATGTGGCTGAGAAATTGTAGACAAAAATAGGTTAAGTCTAGAACTGGAAAATGGAAATCCTATGCCGATGATCCGGTGCTGAACGCCCAATTCGTGGAAATAGTCTCTTGAAGTGATTGAGTGCACGTTTTGAGAGGAATGTTGCCGGTGGGAAGCAGTGATTAACTTTGAGCGAGGCGTTTCGAAAGCAGGACGGATGAATAACCAGAAACGGCTTAAGGGGAGATGTCGAAGAGGGGTCGAATTGAAATATATGAGTAAAGGCTAAGATAGGGTCTTATGCGAGGGTTAAAGGTTCAAGACGAGAGAGTTTGAGGTTAACAGGAGCAGCTCCTAGAACAGAGGCTATTGCGAAAATAAG